TACAAACTCGGCATGGCGGGTTTTGCATTCGGCAATATCATGATGCTGAGCTTCCCCGAGTACTTCCATTTAGGACAAAACAGTTCGGACCAAAACCTTCGCACACTTTTCGGCATCCTGAACCTCGCATTGAGCCTGCCAGTGCTGTTTTACTGCGCGGCGGACTTTTACAAATCTGCCTGGGCGGCACTGAAAGGGCGTTACCTGAACATCGATGCACCCATCGCGCTCGCACTGAGCTGTGTTTTTTCGATCAGCATTTACCAGCTCGCAACACAAACCGGCCCGGGATACCTCGATTCCTTTGCCGGTGCCGTATNTAAATCATCTCGCGATAAAAGCTTCCTTCGAAATAACGTGTATGAAACGCTGTCGGTGCTTCTACAATTGTGTTTCCTAAGGTAATCAACACATCTCGTGGACATGCGAGACCAGATTGAAAATGAGATCGAAAGAAAGGAGTTTGAATCGGCTGATCAAATTGTTTCCCATCCGCTGGTGATCGACATACTTCGACTTTTTGTTTACATAAAACTTTCTCATCCATTGAACTCTTCTCCAAACAGGTACGTTTTCTTTTCAATAAAACATTGATGTCTTCATCCATTTCTTCAATTGTTTTCACTTGAACCATTTCACTCTGCAAAATATTCGACAAATTGTCCAGTTGTTCTTGAGCCAACTCAATCCGAGAAGTTGGCCGATAACCAACAAACGACGTCACATACCGTCTCATTTGATCATTTGTAACTTCATGCCAAGGAAATGCATATTCATCATCGGGATAACACATTCCTCGAGCATTTCCCACACAAACCAATTCTAATTGTCCCCATTCTGTCCATGAATTTATCAAACAACTCTCACCCGACATCGTTTGTTAAGAAATTCAACTTTACAACTATCATAGAGAGAAGGACGAATTAAATCTGTTATGACACACATGCGTCAGCACATTTTTGCACGATCATTCTTAACCAAGGAGAAACTCTTATCTCTTATGACACGAATTTGCATTACTCATTTATTTTCAATTTAAATAAAACAAAGTGCTTCAAATTTTGACTTGAAAGTTCGGTTTCCATTCCGGCTGGATGAGTTTGCCGGAGTATTCAAAAGGGCCCGGACCATTTTCGTTTTCTATAACGTTTGGATTAATCGATCCGTTATAAAGCAAATCATTCTGACGGACTACTTGTTTAATTTCAGTTAGAAGATTCAATCTTCGGAGATTTGTAAATTGATCTTGAGAATTAAATGCAATGGCGATCTTGGAAAACCGTCGACCGTTTCTTGAACTTTGAGGATGTAGACCAACAAGAAAAAATCCTCGCTCTCCAATACTAAATGCAAAATCTGTATTCGATGGATCATTGGAATAGTTCTTCGACCATTTCATTCCGTTCCTCACGTCTTCCTCATGTAATTGTTGCAATTGCTTCCAAAGCAAAATTTCGAAGATGTCTTCACTTAAATTCTCCGGTGTACGAAAACATGCCACATAGGTGGTGAAGATATGATTGTTTTCCCATAGGAATGATTGTTTGTTGATGAATTTCATGAGATTTTGCCAGAGGAGTTTGGTGGTTTCTTCACTGCAGAAAGTATCGTAAACATCGAAATCGAACGCATTTCGTTTCAGCGCGATTTTTGCGTTTAGACAAGGAAAATTTGTACTGAAGACGTGCTGTTTAAACTCTTCTTTCATTTGACAATCTTCATTTGAAATTGAGAAATTCAGATTTCTTTGTATCAAATGATTTTTTAAATAAAACGAAGGTTTTTTGTTGTTTGGGTTGAGACGGATTTTTCCAATACGATATTTTCTATTCAAATGTTCTTTAACAAAGTCTGGTTTTAAATGTATTTCGTAGAACAGTTGGGTAAGGTCTCTTCCTGAGAGCTTTTCGATAATATCTAAACCACCGGAATGAGTTTTCATCGATAAAAGGCAATAAACATCGTCGTCAATGATCACCCAACGATCATTTTTACGTTTCATCACTTCGTCGATGGTAAAGATTCGAGTTGACCGGAATGAAATTTGTGAAAGCAATCGTTTGATTAACGAAATGAGTAAGAAGATCAAAGATGTCATTCTTTGATTGAAATTTTAAAAAAAAAAGATGCTTATTTTTATACCTGAGAAATAACACTTTTATTTTATCTTTCTTTCTGTTCTCGTTTGTGACGACAACTGAGTCAGCTCAAAGCAAATACGAAGATTCAATTGATTAGTATGTCACAAGATCACAATATTTTTTTAATGAATAGAAAAAGAATTTACTACTGAACTAAGTCAACTTCGCATGTGGATAGAATTCACATCGATATTTGACACGTTGTTGTCTTTGAAAATATATTCCATGAGAAAAATATTGTCGGGAAAACTGATATTATTTGACGGCAAAATTGACTACAGGTATCTCACCGTCGAAGTTCTAGATATAATATAACAGAGCGAAAGAACAAGAAAGAAAAATGTCCTCATTGTCATTTGTAGTTTTACAAGTTGCTTTTTGATAGAAAATCCTTTCGGAATTTGTAGAATGATCTCAGAATATCTTATCCTGATAATCTTAGTCAGGAAAATATCGAGTAAGTTTTCGAGAATTTTACTTTAGAGAAGATCATTACAGACGATCATGTATTAAGTGTCAACAAGATTATCACTTAACGCATCATGGAATCAAAATGGTACTATAGTCATCGGATCTCCGAATGGAATGAATGGAACATCACTTGCTCAGCTCTCTCATCCCGTGGGAATAACAATTTCAGATGACGATGTTCTTTATATTGCTGACACAGGAAATCATCGTGTTCTTGTCGTTGATCTTAACAATAGCACGAGCACCTATGCTATATCTAATCTAGAACAGTCTGATCTACACTATGACGTTTTCATCTTCAACACATCTCTCCATGTTCTTAACTCGAACAAAAAACGAGTGCAAAAGATGTCTCTAAATGGTTCCAACTCAGTTACGGGTACTAATCTGAGTGAACTAGTTTCGCCAATATATATGTTTATAGACAAGAGCGGGAATATATATGTTAGTGATGCTGGTAGTCATCAAGCGTTCGTTTTTCGATCAAATTCGACACATGGCTCAGCTGTCGCGGGTAATGGAACGAATGGTACAACTTATGAGCAACTAAATCGACCGTATGGAATATTTGTTAATGATGTCGGAACGATCTATGTTGCAGATTGTGGAAATAATCGGATCATGAAATGGACATCTAGAGTGCAATCTGGCGTTTGTGTAGTTGGTGATGTATTAACAAAAGTCTATGCACCAACATATATCATTGTTGATGAAAATGAATACATGTATATTGCCGAAGCCGATAAATCCCGGATAACTCGATATGCTCCCGATTCAACGTTTAGTGTATGCATTGTTGGTTGTACAGACATATCTAGAATTGTAACAAATCAATTGAGTAGTCCACACTCATTAGCATTCGATAGTCATGGTTCACTTTACGTCTGTGATTGGGGAAATCATAGAGTACATAAATTCGAACTTCTGAACTCTCCTGGTAAGTATTTATTTGTTTTCTCAGTCAAAAATCTCATTCGATATGTCTCTAGCTGCGTACAATCAGCCAAAAATTGTTGCCAATCAAACATGGGATCAATGTGGAAACACTATTATCAATGGTACTGCTTTGAAGTTCTATCCTCTCGGAATGTTCATTGATTCAAATGATACAATATACGTAGCTGATACTAACAACAAATACATTCGTATTTAATCGAAAGAAAATCTTCAATCACAACGATGTTTAATGGCTAACTTATTTCAATACACAAACTTATTTGTGACATTGAACGGTGATATTTACTTTGAAAATGGTGGTGAAAACGGTCGCATAGAAAAGTTCACATCAAATTCAACAAACAGTTCATTTGTAGCTCAATTTTCAGGAAACTGTTTTGGCCTTTTTATTGACATTCGAAATAATCTTTATTGCTCCCTTAGACATGAACATCGAGTAGTGAAAATTATGTTAGATGATGACATCCGTATAGTGATCACGATTGCTGGAACAGTAAATAAAACAGGATCACGACCATACGAATTAAATCAACCTTGGGGAATATTTGTTGATGCTAATTTTAATTTATACGTGGCTGATCATCAAAATAACAGAATTCAGGTTTTTCCGCATGGAAAAATGAACGGAACAACAGCAACCGGAAAGAATAGTTTAACAAACTTGACGTTATATCATCCAACTGATGTTATCCTTGACGGTGAACGTGATTTGTATATTGCTGACAATAGAAATCATCGGATAGTTCGACTACGAAACGGTTGGTATGAATGTATCGTCGGCTGCAGCGGACAATCAGGATCAGCATCAGATCGGCTTAACATTTCGTATTCTGTTCGTTTCGATAGTGTAGGTAATTTATATGTTGCTGATGAAAGGAATCGTCGCATTCAAAAGTTTGGTATTTCAGGCAATTCATGTGGTAAGTTATCGTTTTATTCACAGAAAGTTGATTCTAACCCGTTTCGTTACGCAGCAATCTCATCAATTCCTGAATACACGACAAGTTCACGTCAAACTTCAACAAATGAACTCACAACAATAAATACAAAGCCTACAACAACTTCGAACTATTTTCTGGCACCGTTATGCAAGATCTCCACAAATATCGGCTGGAATTGTAATATATCTGGCACAATTTGCGATATACGACAACCATGTTTAAACAATGGCACTTGTGATAGTATAAATCAGAATCAAGATTATAAATGTTCGTGTCTGTCACACTTCTCGGGCAAGCATTGTGAAGTTGACGAACGTATCTGCAAAGAAAATACTTGCTTGAATCATGGTAAATCTACTTACCTGTCTTTCAACTGAAGAAAATGATCTTTTATTTATAGGTAATTGCAGTGTAGCATCGAATTCCACGTATCGCTGCATATGTTCACCCGGTTACGAAGGAATGCGGTGTGAAAAACGAATCAATTATTGTTTAAATGTCACATGTTACAATAAAGGTGTTTGTCGTCCTTTATTACTCGATTATAAATGTGAATGTCTTCGTGGAACTTGGGGAAAGCAATGTGAAAATATTGAAACAAAGATTACTATCATTAAAATCGTAGCAAAATCGTTCGCTTATATTGCAATTTTAGCCATGATAACTGTGGCATTGTTTATCATTATTATGGATGTTTTGAAATATTTTTTTGGTATTGATCTAACTAAGAAAGAAGTCGAACGAATTCGACGCGCAAAGAAACGTCGACGACCGGTTATTCAACGATTCGTTTATGTGAATGCTTTACCTTCATCGGAAAAACGATCACTTTCACTGATAGTTGAAGAAGTTACAGATGCATCGCAGGATAATCGAATATCATTACAATAAAACATTAATTAACGTGCTTTTCTGTTAACAAAAATTTCATCAAGTATTCATATAAACAGAAACATACAGTAGGGTGCAAAAAAAATTGCCGATAAAGTTTCACAAATCTTTGCCATTTATTACTAATAATAGAAATCTATTTTTTCATAAAAAGTTTAGTTGCGTACTATGCTACAAAACTTAATAATCAATTCTTTTTCCCTTTGAATCAATAATCGCTAAACATCTTGATTTCATCGACTGTACTAAATTATTTACAATTTTCAAATCGATATTTTCCCATTCTTCGTGTAAAAACTGGTCCAATTCGTTGATATTTGANCCCAATCAAGAAACGTTCGGATCGTGCAGAAAAGATTCGATGCTGCTAACGCACTTCGCTGGTGGTAATAATAATACAACATCCACGGATAAATTGTTAGTTCGTAAATAAGAAAAATGAAAAGAACGACGATAATCACATGATTGTGAAGAGCTGAACGCAATGTTCGATCGAAAAGAAGGTAATAGAGAAGAAACAAGGAACAAATCAGAGATGGAATTAGAAAGAGAAGATATGACCAAAAGACAGCGAGATTCGATATCATTGTATGAAGGATTGAAGAAATTCTTCAAGTGACTGTAAGTTCAAAACACGGCATGTTTCTCATTAGAGATCAAGGTTGAAAAATGATTCCAATACAAATATTTTTCCATTAAAAATAGCATCAAATTATAAGAAGAGTTGGTTCGTGTTGTGTTTGTTTCCAAGTATTGAATTTCCTTTGGAACTGCTCATCAGATAAAATTAGAACACTCACGAGTCAATTCATCATTTTGATGAATGTCGATCGCATATCAAAACAACGTCTGTACAGGGTGGAGTGAGTGTGAGAGGGTGTTCCAGCTGTCATGATAATGATGACAATAGCCGATATAATATTATCACATCGCATCTAGTTGTCAAGTGAATCCACCAACTGGGAACATATCGGCATGTGCAGCTGTCTACGCCTGTAGTTCAAATATTACAAGTTATTCTGTCTCGTCATTTTCAAGCTATCAAACAAAGACGATTATCGGCCTGGCAAAAGATGGACATTTGATTTATGGACCTTATTTATCTTTAAGCACACGCGTAACATCTGGCTTTGATGCTTGTAATGGAATGTTTCATGATTCAAAGGGGAACTATGCTTACTTTGCAACATCAACATATCCGTATCTTGTCGGTTGTTTTGGTCCAGCGAATTATCCGTCATTTGGTCCAAATTGTACAACCAATGGTCCAACGAACTATACAATGTCATCTTATGCACAAGCATTGATGAATAGTACAGTCACTAACTCTACAACAACGACAGCTTTATTAAACACCACTACTACAACTGCTCGTCGAGCAAATTCGATGAGTATTCGATTGAATTTCAGCATCAATCTTCTTCGTTTATTTCTTATCATTACCATCATGTGAAGAAATGCACAATGCTTTCAACGAGAACATTTTTCCTTACTAACAAAGTCTACTTCTACAGAACTAATAATCAATTCCCATGCGCATTTAAAAGAGATTTTGAAAAAAAAAAGAGCGCTGTTTTAGTGTGAAATATAGAATCTTTTCATTTTCCGTACGAATAAACTACACCTCTATTATAAGAACTAAATAATGATTTACCTAGCAGATACATTACATGCTTCGACACATGACAGACAAATGAAGTTCTATAGTTTTGGTGTTGTAAATTTCTTATGGTAACCATGTGAAATGAAAGGATACAAAATTCTATTCTTCTCACGAAATTATTCTTCATTCAAATTCAAAGTACACTTGATCTCACATAATCAGTTTTTCCCTCTTAGAAAATGGTGGTACACAAAGTTTAGAGTTGTTTGAATATATAGAAACAAATACTAATATTATCATACATTCACAACAAATGTAGATTGAAATTCGAGACTTTCGAAGCTATTAACATTTTAATGACTATAATACCATAATGTAAATAATTCCGATGAATATTCGTTAAATAAAACAGAGATTCTGTTCAGCACATTGTCGTGTTATTTAACAGAAAATATCCATCCTCTTCAATATCGATTACTCCTTTGTCATTTGAGGATTTAGATTAAAACCGTTTTGACCTATTTATTTCTAGAAAAAATTCTCTTTGATTTGAAAACAGTACGACTTTCCTATATTTGGTGACATTAAGGATAATATTGATAAAACGATTTGCTTTGATTTCCTGTACGTCAGAACGAACTAAATACTTCAGTTTAAAAATCGAGCCCGCCTCACACCTGCCATGATGAGATTACAAAGATTATTAATCATTCTAACAGATGTTAATATCAATCAAATTTGTCGTGTCAAAGCAATGATCATTAGTGACGAGAATTGAATATAGATTGTTACATTTTATTTTGGTGTTGTTTAATAGAGATGAATGAAGAAGAAACGACAAATACTCAATCAAAAATCTTGTATTGAAAACGATTTTGAAATCTATTTGAAAGAAAGTCTTTGTGTGATATAGATATACGCAGGTTCGAACTGGAAAAAAGAAATATTTCATCATTTTCATCGTTATTCTTATTCTTATGGTGATCATTATTCCAACAGTTGTAAAATTCGTCCGAGCCAAGAAGAAACCAGTTGTCGCTCGTATTTCAACGACAACGACGGTTTCAACAGCAATGACATCAACAACAGGTAAAATATCAAATATGTAAGAGTAAAAATGTTTGATTTGCGCTTAGGAAATGCGAAAAATTCCATGTGGAAACAAGAAGGAGTTACAGTAGCTGGAGGAAATGGACCAGGTGATCGAACTGATCAGTTAAATAGTCCATTGGGTTTCACAATCGATGATAATTTGACACTTTATATTGTTGAAGAGACAAATAAACGAGTTGTCAAGTGGATATTCAATTCAACGAATGGTGAGGTTATTGTCGGAGGAATCTTTCCCAATGAGAAACTGATGAGATTAGCTCATCCGATTGATGTTGTTATCGATGAAAATGATCTTATTGTTTGTGATTTTGGAAATAGTCGATTAATCAGATTATCTTATGTTAATTTTGATTATGAATTAGGATTTTTTGTTCGCTTGTGCATGTTTTAGTTTAGCAATTGATCTTCATGGAACGATATTCATTGTTGATGTTGTTGAAAGTGCGATTAAACAATGGAAAAAAGGAGAATTTCAAGCAAGAATAATAGCAGGTGGAAATAATCGTGGAGATGGTTTAAATCAGTTGAATGAACCTCGATATTTAAGTGTTGATCGAGATTCTTCACTTTATATCTCAGATACATTTAATAATCGAATTATGAAATGGATTCCAGATGAAAAAGAAGGTGTTATCGTTGCTGGAGAAGGTGCAGAGAATAATCTCACAGATTTATCTTATCCAGCTGGATTAATCTTTGATGATTTTGATAATATTTATGTAATTGATAGTAGATACGTACGAGTGACACGTTTTGCTTTGAAATCTCGAGAAAAAACTGTTATTGTTGGCGGACGTGGAGCGGGAAATGCTTCATATCAATTACACGACCCACAAGACATTTTATTCGATCGATATGGAAATCTTTATGTTGCTGATACTTTCAATCATCGAATACAAAAATTTTATCTTGAGAATTGACAATACAATATTCGATAAACATTTCTCTCTGTAAATTTCACTATTTCCGCTAAATGCATACGACCGCAATGCCGTATGCTCAAAAAAATAAATCATTCAACAATAATCTGTCAGTAGCAATTCGAAACTTTTCTAAGCGAGTACAAGCAGACAATTTATTGCGCTGTGAGAAGAAAGAGAAAGATAGAGAAATTACTAATAAGGTATAACTGTATTTGTTCGACATCGCTGACGAAGGTAAAATACAATATCAATTAGAATTGGAGTAATAAATCGCAAGATAATCGTCAATCCTCCATATAAACCCAAAATAGTTGACATCGTATGAATAAGATAATCTTCTTTTTCGATCTGATAAATACATTCATAAGGAAGCGATTGATTATAAAATAATGAATAAGATTTTTGAATAATCCATTGTTCAATAAACAACTCATTGACAAGCTTTTCAATAATTGCATTTCTATGAAAATGACTTGTATAGTTAATCACTGAAATATTGATTTCCGTGGAATATTCCCATGCAAATGTTTTCATTTTCGAGAAGAATAAATTTAAACAATGTTGATCGTAGAAACATTGCAGTGTTGAACGTAATAATGTTTCTACAACTGAACATCCAACATACCATCCAGGAAAGAAAAATCGAGGAATACTATTTGACACTGTATCGAAAATTCCCGCTTGATCTGTACAATCATTTTGTGTTCCACATGAACATCCACTCATCGTGCGAACTGGTTGAACTGAACTGATTCGATATGAACTGTTCGTTTCTCGAAACCAATCCCAATTCAACGAATACGAAGAAATTAAAGCGTTGCCATTGATAATATCACGAAGAAATTTCAAACTCTGAGAAAATTTGATTAACGTATCATTTTGAAATTGTGAAATCGTATTGTTTATTTGAATATCGAAATCCAATTGTGAGATCATATGGGTATTAACAAACGAGGTATCCAAAAATTGTTCTTTCGCATTATCAATAGTTTTTTGAGATATTTGACATAATGTAGAAAGAAAGACAAAATATGCACCACCACGTGTGCGAATGTCACGCCGATCATAACTATACCAATGGAAAGTATTGAATAAATATTCAATCCATCGTCGATGGACAAAGTCACTTGAACAGACTGAATGAGGTTTAGTATCGATTTTGAGAAAAGATTTATATTCAATCGAGGTTTTTCTACAGGGACATTTGAGTGAATCGGAATATGAGGCGAGTAATTCATTATAATCGTTTTCTGAGGGATTTGAAAAGAACTGAAATTCGCTTCGACTCATAAATATTGTGTAAACGCTGATAAAATAAATGGCAACCGTAAAACCTACTATATACAATCGAGTCGAGATCCGCTGACGATGGATTCTTTCAGGATCATCGGATCCATCATCGAATATGTTTAATGATATCAATTTATTTACTAATCGATGTGTTATATTGTTATTACTTTGAATGCGAGGATTTTCTAGAACTAATCTCTTGAGAAGCAATGATTGAAAAAAATGATTAACTTACGTTGATGTTCTTCTTTGTGATATTTAATCGTTGAAATGATTTTCAGAATAATTTTGATAATTAATGGTGAAGTCAATCGAAGAATCGTATTGATTCCGCCGATAAGACTGATGACAATAGTAACAATGTAGATGATATTTACTTGTTTTTCGTAAGTAAATGAGCAAGACGATGGTTGACATTTAGAGTAAAATTTGTCAAATGAATACGAAGAATTCCATTCTTCAATCATAATTTCATTAAGAATTATTTCAATTAATGTATCCGGAGAATATCGACTAGGTAACAATTGATCAAGTAGAGTGGTATTCCAAGGAATAGAAATACCCAATGGACGAACAAGTTCTCGTAATTGACTAAAACAACTGTAATTAAACCAACATATTAATGATGATTTCATAACTGTGTTGATTATAGAACAACCTCCATGTATTCCTGGAATTTGCCAATTGAAATGCTGTGCAATATCAAAATTAAGAAGCGCATAATCTAAAGAACATGTTGAATTCATAGCACAATAACATCTGTCATTATTTGTATTTATGGCGTACAAAGCAAGAACGAACATTCGAATGGATTCAAATGTATCATTTTTATAATGAGAAGCAGCGATTAGACGAGTACTTGTTGTTGTACGACTGATATATTGATTACTGTGTAATAAGGTGTTAGTTAAATTGATTCGATAACGAAATTCAGTTTTTGTTAATTGTTGAAACGCATTTATTGATGCATTGATTTGTGAATCGAAGAACTGACGCGTTAACAGTTGAGAATTGATGAAATTTCTTGCTAAGAATCTTTTTCTCGCATCAGCAATTGTTTCATTTGCAATAAAACAGAACGTTTCTAATGTTTGAAAATACGATGAAGATATAGAGAGAAAATCAGTTTGTTCATAATTATTATTAAAAACTGAAAGACGTTCGTACCAAGATGATTGAATGAACTCACTCGAGCATATTTGATGATAATTTACACTGATATTGATGAAATCTTCATACGGAATTGAAATTTGTGTACACAAACATCGTAAGGTTGAAGAATATTGCTTTTCAAGATAAGCATATGTATCGAGAGAAACAGTTGAAACATTCTCAGTTATAATTTGATTCGATAAATCAGAAAATAGGATACAGATGCAAATAGAAATAAATAAGGAAATCAAATGTAATCGTGTAGCAAGTCGACCATAGTAAATATGCGTTGGATTATTTACATTTGAGTCATAAATATTCAGGCTAATGAGTTGCATCTTGAAAACGAAAACAAGTTTTTTCAAACGAACTCGAATTGTTGTATCTAAAAATATTCAATTGAAAATGACTTTGAAGTTATAGAGTGTAGGATATAGCAGTAGCGAAATGATTGACTCTTCCGGTCTTACTTCGGTTTTCTCGGACTTGTTTTGGTTTGATCAGAAATAAAACGGTTCGAATGATATAAGGAGTAATTAGACGTAAAACAGTATTGATCCCTCCAAAAAGGGCAAACATTACTGTCAGAACGGATATCCAATTGAACCGATTAAAATGAAGATAAGTACAAACGTACGGCAAACACTTCATATAATAGGTCGAGAAGTTTGTATGATTAAAGAGTTCTTCGATAAATAATTCTTCAACAAGTGACTTGATGGGTGTTTTAAGATGAAAACGACTTGTTAGAAAAGAATTCAATCTTGAAATATTGATTTTCTTTTGATAAGATGCAAGTAAAATATTTAAACATAATTGATTATAAAAACATTCTAATGATGAATAAAGTGTTGTTTGGATGGGTAAACAATCAACAATTATTCCGGATAAAGTTTCATTTGCTTCAAGTTGATTTAAATCAAAGATTTCATATGTTTTGTGATAATTTCCATTTAAATAAATATATCCGGGTAAATGACACGAGTCATGGTTTTGACAAGAGCAAATAACAGTGGAGTTTTTTCGTATATATTTATTTTCGTGGATATTCGTATCAAAAATAAGATTTTCTCCGGATAATGATGGGATTATTTTCGAAGTTATCATATAGTTGGTGAATAACGCTGTTATTAGTTGATTTGCTTGTGTCATTTTTTGCGCAAGAGTCATCGATTGAAGGAAATTCGATGCAGTTGTTTGATGCAATAAGTGCAAAGTTGTTCGAACTTTTGTTTCTAAAATATGCTTAGTTAATAAGATTGGACTAATCACTGGAGAATGATGAAAAGAGTCGAGCGAATGAATCGTTGTGTGTGTGGCACTTTGACAAAATGATCGAATTAATTGAAACATTGAACTTAAACTTGTTCGAACATCGATCGGAAGGGTCGATTTGACATTGATTTGAAAGATGAAATCGATCCATTTTTGAGAAATGAAATCACTTGAACAGATTTGATGGAATTTGGGCGTTGTCGTAACAAATTCTCCATATGGAATCGAAACTTTCGTGCATAAACATTGTAAACTGTTCGAATATTTCTTTTCCAGTTTTTGATAAATCGATGCACTTGGAAAAGTGACCGTTTTACTCTCGATTTGGTTGTAAAGAGAAGTGTATGTTGTTAAAATAACGAGAGAAATGATAAGAAAAAGAATATACAAACGAGTTGACAAGATTTCGCGATGGATTATCACGGGATCTGATGATCGAGAATCAAAAAGATTACCTCGAATTAATTTGTTATACAGCCATCGTAAAGTTAATCTTTCAGACATGAGAATATTTCTTCGAAAAAAAGGCCTTTTCCTGTCTTAGTTAGAAACATAAATGATGCCAAATGCTTCAGAAAACGTTCTCTTAACAAAATATTGATACAAAGAATATTGACAAAAGAAAAACATGCATTTGTTCTTTAGTCATCTCTACCTCCGCATTTCTTCACATGACCAAGTAGATTTGCAAAAAACTATAATATGTGGCATGACACTTCAAGGGTCCCACTGTTTTCAGTAGTGTTAGTTTCGTTACACCACTACGCAATGAATGGATGGAAAAGTGTCTATTATGTATTGGTATCCAGTCATTAACAATTTTGGCAAACGCGTTAATAAAAAGAATAAATCATCTGGTGTCTCGACGAAACATTGAAGTTGTTCGAGATTTGAGAATCTTTCACAAAACGAATTTCTTCTCGTATACGTGACAAACGAATAACCCAACATCTTAATAAATCGTCAAGTTCTTACTTTAGTGTCATTCAGGAATGAAATGAAGAGTCAGTTCTCAGCGATGATAATTGTGGACTGTCGTTGAATAACTGTAGGATAGTGTCTGATAAATCGCCTCGAAAACCTCTCAGAATGCTTAAATGTTTCAGATTCATTAAACTAACCATACTTTCCAAATATTCAATGTTGAAAATTCAATTCACGGTAAACGTATTTAATCATTTCAAGCAAGGTGGGTCGGTCTTTGGTGACCTTGCCATTGGCTTCTCTGCGTATGACTTGTATAGTGCTACTATTGCTAATTGTCTTTCTGCAGATATCTGTACCCAGGGCAAATGTGATGCGTTTCTATCTACTGTTGACTCCTGCCAGGCTTATATCGATACACTAGGCTTGGAATATAAAACGTTCACATAAGTGAGAGAATTTTTATGTAATGACATTGAAGTTTGTCAATTGAGTTAACGAGATATTCTATGTGAAATGCTTCATTGAAATATCAACTTCATAACTTGTAATCACACATCTTATTCCATACAAAAAATTATTTTCATGTTCGATGTTTTTTCCTTCGGAATATTGTGAGATTTCATAAAGAGATTAAACATATAAATCCATAAATAAAAATCTTCGCTTCATTTGAAGAGACGTGTATAGACAAACTTCTAGCACCTAAGAATCGGCGAAGAAGTGATGGAATAATACAGAGTAAAATAGAAAAAGATGTGGTTGTCAAAATCTTTAACAATTTGGGAAGTGTAGAGCGAATCGATGACAGTTCGAATTATAAAATTGACTGTATCACATATAATAAAAGCATTTGAAAGTGTATACGATACTGATAATATTTCCATCATTTTGACCAGAGTTGCATAGCATATAAAGACATAGACTACGCTTTAGAATGAAAATATATGGAAATCCAGTAAGATGTACTAAATGGATCATTAAGCGATATTTTATCTGTTCAGGTTATATTTCTCACACTCAATGCACACTTTTTTCAGCATAGAAGTATTTTTCGTAACTAGTTTTCGAATGACTTTCTCATTATATTTTACACAGAATATCTATTAATTCAATGAAATGTATAAATTCTTGATATCCTCAGTTTTCTCTCCTATGTGGCTATCATGAAAATGATCGAACACAACAGAGTAGTATATTTGTACTAAGATGTTCTTAGTCGATTCTGCCGATTTGAGCTAATTGTTGACCGTCTCGGTAGAATCCACCGTTCTCCAGTTTGTTCTCATCCGTATTGATCAGATATAAGATTGATTCAGCACCAAGTTTAGGGTGTCGACCACCGGGTGCATTTTGATTGATGTCCGTAGCACAGAAACCTGGACAAACAGAAAAAACAAGTATGCCTCTAGCAGAAGACCACTGTCGTGCTTCAATTCGAGTGAGAGCAATCACTGCTGCTTTTGAAACGCTGTAAATTAAATAAAGTGACTGAGGATTGTAACCGAGTTGTTCAATATTATTCGTTCCAACAGAAGAAATAAAATCTTCAACAAGTTGATTAAGTTGACGGGTAGTTAATGTTGATAATGAATATTGATCTTGAAGATATTTTGACGCTTCAGATAACACAACAGAACCACAGGCACTAGCAACGTTGATTATACGACCGTTTTTTCGTATTAACGGAAATAAGTATTCATTCAACATCTTGATTCCATAATAATTCACCGAGAACGTTTTTCTAGCCGAATCAACAGTTAGTTCCAGATCGCCACAAGCAGCATTGTTAACCAAAATATCCAATTGTCCACCATATTTATGTTCTATTTCATTTTTGGCTTGTACGATACTTTCTTCTGATGACACATCTAATTGAAGACAATGAACATTTGGTGGTGAACCTAATCGAATCAACGCGTCATTGCCTCGTTCAGGATTACGACATCCAAGTAGAACCATGTCATTGCTGTTCGATAAACTTTTCACCAGTTCGAAGCCGATACCCTTATTAGAGCCAGTAACTAGAATAACGCGTGGCTGTTGACTTTTCGAAAACATGTCCAGAATATTTATCAACGCAGAAAAAAAAGAAAGCCGTTGAGTCAGTGTGTCAATTTGAAGATAAGTCCTACATAGAGGTCACGCGTGTCGTTAGTAATTATATTGACGAACAACATCCATGGTAAAATTTATTGTAAAAATCTCACTTCGAGAAATAGTTCAAAAATACTTTTTGTTTGAACGATCCATGTCTTCTTTCTCTACGATTGGCTGTCACTAGAAATCGACTTATGTCTTGATGTATGTCCTTCATCCAATATTCATCATAAGACTTGAACTTTGTTTTCTAAATAAAAATTATATCAGCAAAGACAAAGTTGTTTTTGTCATCGATAAAGAACATCAAATGTATGTATATAGATAGACATATTTCTCGCGATTAGTTTGTGTCGACATTCTGTTCGAAAAGAAATTTCACAAAAAAAGTCAATTGTTTGTTTGATAACAAAGAAAGATAAGTCATTCTTTCTAGAGCACATATTTTATACAAAAATGAGATCCACCTAGTATTAAAAGAACAAAATTTAATAATGCTTCATCTGAAATATTATAATAAAGAAACGTAAACTATATTCGTCCTCATGTAGACTGATGAAATTCTTTGCTGCAAATAGGCAATATAAACAAGAACCATTCGTTGATTCTATACATTTTGACGCGTAATATAGTTGAAACAAAAAACAAATGTTTATGTTATATCGATAATTCACATTCATGATTTAATCGGCATAGTCATCCGCGAAGAAGTCGATCGAAATACTTCCAAACAGCGAATCTTCGAAAGCCATTAGTTGTTGTAAGAAACCATGATTGGGAGATATGTGTTTTCGCACACGAGTCAATAATTCATAAGATTCCCGAAGATTTCGTTCCTTCTTATGTATAAGATATGCTAAAGCAAAGCAAGGAGAACGACTAGCGCCCATTTGGCAATGAATAAGACATGCGGAAGTCGGTGTAGCCTAGAATGATGAGCAAATTATTTGACACTATCAATCCTGATAAATTCTTCCTACTTGATCAATAAAATTGAATATTTCATCGAATAGAGGTAAAATATCTTCAGAAGAAGAATCTTTTACAGGACGTTGAAGATAAACAAAAGAATCGACGTATAAATTTGGTAAATCAGTGAGATTTACAATGTATCTAGAAATTTAAATCAGATTATTCGATAGCAGGCGACTATAACAACGTACTTGACACCAAGTTTAAGAAGTTCATCTTTATTGCGTGTACATAAATAGGATCCCAGAAATAGATGCGGTAAAATCTGCGACGGAGCTTCCCAATTCAACGCCATTCGATTTCTTACGAATGATTTACAAGTTTACTGTCATTGCATCATCTGAATGCAATGCGTCTGAATGGTAAATACATGACGCAGAGATGCACAAATCTATTCATCGAAACATCGATATTTTAGCGTCCTCTACCACACAAGCAACGCCAATAGGAAATCCTAATGTTTTTAAATCGATTTTATTATTATGTTAAATCAGGTCCAAATAATCATATCGATTTGAAAGATTTTGTGTGATGTTCAATTAATAATTTGTAAAAGTGAGATGATGAAATTTGGTTTTAATTCATCGATTTTCTGTTCTCATCATTGAGAAAACACTTCTCAAGATTGAATCATGTTTTCAATGGTATTCTACAAAGATTAAAGTTTTGTATTGATGTGCATGGTGACACTTGTGCATAATACATGTAGGACATTCTTCTCTCATCTAAAGAAAAGTTATTCAACTTGAACGAACAATAACGAAGATGTGTTTGAGTTTCTTTTTACTAAATGACTTTCCGAGCACCATGTAGCTAAACATAATTATTTGCTTATTTTCTTTTTATCGCTGAAGTGACCATTATCTGCTGGCTCTTATCATACCTTGTGATGATTGCAAATTTTTTTTTTCAAATATTACAGTTGATGTGTGAAATAAAGATCTCTTTTCATTAAGTCATAAAACAGTACTATCTGCTCGGTTTCTTCTTGTTCTAAACATGTTCGCTACAACTCTTAGTCTTATTCACGAGAACGAGGATTTCGACATGAGATATATGATTCATTAAATCTATTCATATTCATCTTTTAGAAATTACGAATAATTATGAGTGTTGCATCATCAAGCATATTCGAGTCAAGCACACAAGTTTCCACGGGTTTCGCATGTGATAATTGTCGTGATATTATAGACCGTATTCAATGGAAACGGTGCAAGGTATGTCATATGTTTGATTTGTGCCATAATTGTGAAAAAGTACCGTATGAAAAACTACCAAAATATATTCAAGAATATCATGAAAATTTGCACCGAGAGGATGATGAAGTGGATGCAAATGAGTTGATCAGTGGTGTTTGCATAGATTCGATACGATTCGATCAGGCAACACAAACAAAAGAGAGAGATTTCAGTAAAATGATCAAAGCTAGGTTGGAACGAATATGGCACAATAAAAAAATTAAAAATGAATATCAGTTAAGTCATGTTATTGCTAAATTACGACAAATGGAAAAGGCATCGTCACCGCGATTAGAACTTGAACTATCATCAGATTCCGAAGAACCAACGCGAGCTCAAATTTTGACACTAATTGGTGAATACTACACGCGAGGATATCAAACAAATATCAGTGTATTAAGTTTAGACGGAGGAGGTAAGAAGATTCGTTTTTTTAATGTTCATAGATATTTTTTTCCATGCAGGGACACGTGGTCATATGTCCATCAAAGTACTATGTGAACTTATAACAGAAACACATCTTGATTCCAGTAAAACGTTCTTGGACGCTCAAAAAGAATTTACGAATGAGTTTGATTACATCGCTGGTACAAGTACAGGTGGACTAATTGCATTTTGTTTAGCAATTAAACATGATTTAACTGATATCAAGGAAATATATGAAGATTGTGCAACATATTTCAAACGTCAATGGTTTACCTATTTTGGACCGCTCGAACGCGATAAATATGATCCCACTCCTATATACAATAAAATTGATCGAATTATTGATCAAATTCAATTACCAAATGGCAAACAATTAACAGCTGAAACGGCAACTTTACTTGATATACATAATTTATTAAATCAACATTGTCAAGTCGATGATAATCAATCAACATTAGACCGACAGTTTCATAGTAATTGGCTAGAATTCGTCGATGAACCCAGTAGTCATTCAGATATAAAACGTGAAAAGATCTTACTGATTACAGCTTACAATACAACAAAAGATTGCATGACTATATTTAATACAAGTTATGCTGAGCATTGGGGATATCGTATAGCTGATGTGTTAAAAGCCACTATGGCTGCTCCTACTTACTTTCGACCATGTACGATGTACAGAAGAAAACAAGTGAATGGTCATTATGAACGAGATGGTGACGATGAAACATTTATTGATGGTGGCGTATTTGCTAATGATCCCGAAATGGCAGCATTATGGGCAATACGAATGCAATGGAAAAAGCCAGTCAATTATCATTTAATTTCGATTGGCACCGGCTGTTATAATGCAAAACTATCCGTCGACAATTGGAAGGGCGGTTATAAGTATTGGCTCTTAGATACCAATGGATTGTTAGTGAACGTACTTATGGATGGTCCGCGTAGTTTGATTGAGACTGTGATGAACAAGTTAGCGACATTTGACAATATCAAACGAATAAAATTTAATTATCAATTAAAAGAATCTATAGAATTAGATGATCCTGGTTTTGCAGCAAAATTTAATAAAGAATGGGAAATACTGAAAACTGGAGATGATTACAAAGTATTAGTTTACTTCTACAAAGAACATATAAAAAAACAACGGAATTCATCTGAACAGTAATCGCAAGTTCTGCTGACATTCTATAAGATATCAAATGATTTATAGATATTCCACTATTTTTGATTTATATAATGAGTAAAATACATCTAATACTCGATTGGCTTTTATATTCGAATGATTTATGAACTATTTCGAAATTTTCATATATACAAAGATAGAGATAAGAACAAAAAAAAATAACTCATTATGTAGTGTTGCATTTCAGATACCCACGCCAACAATTTCATAAATTCTTTCGAGAACTGTCGTTATTACGTTGTGATTGTGATTATGAAAAGAAATCAGCTCGTGTCTTTTTGAGAGAATAACACAGCAGTGATTCGGTGAATGTACCTCAAATTCCAAGAAAAGTTTCCGCGTCACATGACCATTAGCGCTGACAAATTTTACAAGAAAATTATCGAGTGATGGAAAATGACGTAGCTTATCGATCCATGGTATTTATGACTGAGATTAAAAAATATTCCGCAACGACAACTTTCGAGCAACTGAATTCATCTCTTGAATAAAGAATGATGATATGGTTATTTCCAATCCCATGCAGAACTATAAGGATTTGATCATGTGTCTAATAAAATGTAGGATAAAGTGAGATACTCAACTCTTTTTTGGATTAAAAAATGTCAGATACAACAACAGGTCACACTCGTCATAATTCTCTCTGTATCGACGCAATCGACACAAGGAGACAAGCATAGGCGGGCCGACGATATGGCAATTGCCATACCTGAAAAAACCACATTGGCCCGCCATTGGAGGCAAGAATCGCCAAAACACACGTGTAAGCGTGCTTTTAGCCAGCAAAACGCGTGTAAAGACGTAAAAATAAACAAAAATAGGGACCACATTTTTTATAGATGAGAATTCTGCCTAACAAAATACTGTTAATATCTCGTGCACAAATAATGCTGTCCCTATTTGTGTTCATTTTACGCCTTTTCTGGCTAAAATGGCGTTTTCACGCGTGTTTGGTAATTCTTGTCTGCTCGGGTAATCTGTTTTGTTTTATTTTCACGTAGAAATGCTCAACANGATAAACCCAACAGTTTATTGTCTCGTGATAAGCCCTTTTCCTATTGATCAGCGGAATCAACCCTCAAACTCAGAGTTTATCATCATTTCCAAGAAACCTTTCGATTACAATTGATCCAGTTAATAAACGAGAAAAGCGTTTATCAAAAGACGATAAACTGTTGGGTTTATCAGTTTGCAACGGATAATATACCTTTTTGGGGTTTATCAAGAAAAAAGGGTTGATCAAGGGGTAGATCACGTTGATAAACGAATTTTTTAGTTATAAACCCTTTTTTGAGGGTTTATTATTCTACGAAAATTTTTATCAGTGTTGTTTTATGGGTATACTATCTTATGATATAGGTTCTATAGAAAAGAGCGTTTTTAAGATGCGCATTATCGACGCTGTGTAGAGGCAGTCTCTACAACGCTGAGTCAACAATAAAATTACAAAATTTTCATTATTTCTATTTGCTGAAGATAAAATGAGTTCGTTCTAGTTCAGACGCGAAACGTATGATGGTAAATACGCAGAACGCAAAATCAAATAGTACAGAAAATTTATAAAGAATGAATGAAATGCTGTGAGAAAAACACGCTATCACGATGAAACGCAGTATCAGTTACTACATTCGCGATACAGTAATACGCGTTCTAACTGCATAGAGCAGGTGACTTGAGGATGAGGGCGTAAATGTTAAGATCAAAACCCATAGTGCTTATTACGTTGTACTTTGATCTAGTACGATCAAAATTGAACCGAACCTTTAGGCGAATCTACGTCTAAAACTTCGAATGCACCAAAAACCATTTATTAGTGCGTAACAATTGTAAATTTTCACGATAAATATCCCTCAAAACCAACCAAAACTTTGTGCTCATTACAATCAGCTTCTTTGGTGTAAAATATCATGGGCACGGTTTCGACCTTTTCTTCAAAGGATTCGCACACAAGCGTATTCCAACTCCGATCAAGTTTGTTCCCGGTGGAACTCAGTGAGCTCTATCTATTCCAAAAAAGTATTCCCGGGAATATCCTTCCTTACTCATTAAAAATGCAAAAAATTGCAAAAACCTTAAAAAACAAGAAAATTTCAGAAAATCATGTACGCGTTCGTTTCTTCACTTCCAGTTACCATTCAAAAATTTATTCCAGATACAACCCGATAAACTCTATCGACTCCAAACATTAAAAAGCTTTCACTCATTCTCACCCTCACCCACCCACACCCACACCATCACCCACCCACACCGAAACCCTCACCCACCCACACCCACGCCCTCACCCCACCCACACCCACACCATCACCCACCAAGACCGAAACCCTCACCCACCCACACCCACACCCTCAATAGCCTCTGAAGAAGTTGCTGTTCAATACCGGAGTGTAATGGAAACACTCAATGATATCAGAGACAATAAGAGCTATGAGAATCCAGAAAAGAATGTAATTCGGTACTGTACGCCTAAGTTTCTGAGGTAGAGTTGATCAGCATACGAAGCCCTCGTCGAGGTATGAGTTGTTGGAGTTAAAACCCTAAAAGGCTTTCGTCCAGGTACCAAGCTTTTCCCAGCACCCTTGTGTTGTGCTTTGCCTACAGATCGGGTTTTTTCCTCATACCTATATCACCAAGCTGGTTCAGAAGTATGTAGTTTTGATTTGTGGTCGCGAGATAGTCCCACCAAATTCACTCAAATTCCTCACATCTCAAAGGATACACTTTGGGTATCCGGTAACGGGTAACCAGATCAGCAGACGAAGTCAATTTGGTTATACTCGTGGGTATCGAGATGTTCAACTCTGGATACCCAGCGTAATGATATTATGACAGCTATGGCATGCTTTTAGCCAGCAAAACGCGTGTAAAGACGCAAAAATAAACAAAAATAGGGACCACATTTTTTATAGATGAGAATTCTGCCTAACAAAATACTGTTAATATCCCGTGCACAAATAATGCGGTCCCTATTTGTGTTCATTTTACGCCTTTTCTGGCTAAAATGGCGTTTTCACGCGTGTTTGGTAATTCTTGTCTGCTCGGGTAATCTGTTTTGTTTTATTTTCACGTAGAAATGCTCAACAATATGTCATCCAAGGTAAAAACGATCTTTCTCCTCTCATCTGACGTGATCTTCTGTGATGGAAGTAAAGGAAGAACTTGATGAAACTAACAGAATCGTAAATTTGGGGTCAAAAGTGTTTTTTGACAAACTGAAACCTTTGTTGATAATTTTCAACTGAAGAACAACAGAAGAATAAAATATTCGAAAAAAAAAGATCTTTTTTGTCAAATATTATATCAATTTCAAAATCGCTGAAATCAGATTCGATATTTAATCTTCGTACAGGGGAAAGAGAAACCAATCGTATATTTTTTATTCTCTGTTGGCGGAAAAATCAAATAGAAAAACTTTCTTTTGATTTCATTGTTCCATAGAAGTTTTCAACGACGAACTTGGCTACTTTATATCTTCATTTTGTGAAATACGATTCGAAGGAGAATTTTGAAGAGTTTGGGGAAAGAAAAGTCGTTTTTCAACCACTCTTCTACCGACATACGTGTAACACGTTCCGGACTGTCGTCGGCTAAGGATGCATTACGAACTATCGTATACTGTAGTCCATGAGGCAAAAACTTATCAGAAAACATTGGACATGGTTATTGAGAATGGCATGCTATTTTCAATAGCGTGGTTTTACATTAAATAAATGCGAACGCAGAGTAAGAGATAAACTGACTGTGATCTTTATTGAGGTTCTTGCAGCTCTATCATGTTTCACATTTTTATCCCGTTAGTGGTTTCGCTGGAAGCTTTTCTATCCGAAAACGCCAAAAATGCGTAGAATATGTATTTTTATGAGTCAAGGTAATCATTTCTTTTATTTTGGATATATACTACTTTTTTGTTGCTCTATTACAAGACTTTCTGTTTGATACAAGAGATACCGCAGTAAAATGATGGCTAGAGCTCAGAGTGTATTTCTTTTCTATGGCGACATCCAAAATCACAACACTTACTTTCCTTTTATTTGACAGGTTATTCACTCTGTCTATTATCTAGTATAGTTTCAGATACTTCCTTTCGACACCTATATCAAACAAGTTTCTCATAAGATGGATGAAGTCAAGTTGTATTTTCACAACAACACATTTAGTAAACGAATACAATATCGAAAAAACGGTTCGGTAGTGGCTAAATACAAAGACACTCGTCTATATGTATGACATCAGCTTTGAACACATCGTAAATGCAAGCATTTGTTAATCACTGACTGTGCAGATTGCCGAAACGTTTTTCGAAATAAAGTACTGCAAGCATAATTGAAGTAAAACGCCATTCCATATTTTGCATAATACAATAGAAGGCCTATTTGTGTAATAAAATTTTCGATCTGTTCCCGTTCGACACTTTTCTTCGTCGAATTAGTGATCAAATTATATGTAGCGACAATGTCACGCTGCACTTCTAGTATCATAGACATAGAAGCATGTACGAATATGAGAATGAGTAGTTGTCGATTCATTCGATGACTTGCAGGTGTTTGCTGAATTACACCGAGACCTACGTCGACACGGTTCCTCCATCGTCGCATATGAATCCATGTTATAACACCACAAATCAGCATACCTCCATGTGGGATGAAAGAAACAAAAACAAGAGCATAACTGACAACAGCAATTGTTGCAAAACCGGACATTGTTGTACACATACCATCAAACACATCATAAGCAATTAAACACACCCCACTCGAAATCAAAAGAAAGAGCATAGTCACGACGGAAATACGTCGCGCGAAAGAAATAGAACTCAACTGGCGCCAATTCACATTCCTTGACGTCGATAAACATCGATCGAATGTTGATAAGAAAACACATGTCGAAGCCATGGCTGCTAAGCATATCGCAAAGTAACTACGTGCTTTACATGCAGCACGATTCGTCTGTAGTCTATTGTCTGAAAAATAGTCGATCACTAAACTAAATACAAGATAAATGTTGATGAAAAGCAAGTCGAATACGGATGAACAAATCACGAAAAATATACAGGATTTCGTTCGAAAATCTTTAGATAAGAATGTGACAAGATTGAGAAGATTTCCGGTTGTTGCTAATATTAATATGAGAATAGTACAGATAGAGATCATATAAGATGTGATCTCTGCTAACAATACCATCTTGGCTGAAGATGTGATAAATAATGTACTTTTCGTGAAGATAAAAAATAAATACTGGTCTCTGACTATTTAGGCTAAAAAATGTTTGCTTTTCTATTATAGTGCGCAGTCTATAAAACACAACACTCGCTGATATTTTTCTTTTCACATAGACGGCTAGAAAGAGAGAGAAATGTAAAATGATAACCGATGAATGACGCCTTCGAGATGAGAATAGTTTTAGAGGTTGTACGTACTTATTTAGTATAATTTTTATTTGAGCATGATGTCGTCCGTCTCTTTATTCTAAACCTTTCGGCTGTAAAACAAATTAATGCGTTCATTTCAATATTTCTTTTGTGAGAGTCAATTATGACGAGCAAATACGGTATATAGTGCTGGCATTTTTGATATTGTCTACTAAGAAACATCTGACATGATTCTGCAAAAAACAGAAAAAATATATTCGAAAACGTGATCTTCTTCGAAACTGGGTTGTTGTTGGTTTTGATAAAAACATTTTCATCATGTATTGGTACATCTGTATTTTTTGCAGATCCAAAAAGGTTGATCTGTCTTATCTATGCATATCACAAAACAATTTATTCATATATTTTTTTAGAATTTCATTAGAAGAATTCGAATAATTCAGAAAAATAAACGTTTCTCACATAACGCCTTCCCAATATGAACCGTGAGAACGATCAGCCGTTTTAGCGAGTACTGCATTATGTTTTTTGTTGAACGAGTGGCTATGCGCGTATTACCCACAAAAATGTACTGGAATATTCATCATTGCCGCCGTTTCCCAGGATGCACCGAAAGCCATTTGGTTTCCCACGAACAATATGATGATTGTTTTTATTGATTGAATGACGAACATAACCATTATTGTTCAAACCATGCGTGTCTCATAAGCACAGTGCGAACCTTTTACCAAACAATGATCGGACCAAAAAGAAGAGCAAACATAATTTGAAATTCTCTATTGTAATCATTGTACTTCATGACAGGGATATAATCTAACATTTGAATTACACTATCTAATACGTAAAATCTACTTTCAGCCATTTCAAATCTTTCTTTCTTTCTTTTCTTCTTCCATAGAAACTATAAATTTCTAGAAACAACCGAATAACGATGAGTGTGTATTCGAGACTTCTATTCTGAAAATAGAAGTGCACAAATTCATCGTCACTTATGAGTAACATTATAATTTAATTAAACTGATCAATGATAATAAAATCATGAAGTATATAGAAATTAGAGAACCGTGTTGATTAGCTGCACTTTTCTTCGTATTAGCTATTTGAACGATAACGTCAGTGATTTGCACCTAAGAGCAAAATTATATCGATCAAAACAAGATCTCTCCACATTTCTTATTTCTCTACCACATAATTTACGACTTGTCTCGAACATGAAGGTTCATCATAAATCCCTGAATCAAACAAAATGATTACCATCAAAGTAGAGGTATATACGATGAAACATACCTCCACTATATCTACGAAAACCGTTTCCACCCACGTTTATTTCCACCCAAAGTGTAGATTCTTGAATCCAAACTAGCACTTGTCTTCGTCAGCTTTTTCCATTCTCTTGATAGTGTCAAACTAGAGCTTGAAAATATGAACCTACCGTCGCGAATGGTTTGCATGTATTCAGTTCACATTTGCCCAGTGGTTTTGAATAGTCTGTCTTACGGCAAACACCACTTATATTCTTTATACAATCAAACACTTGTTCAATACTACCTTGAATAAGCTCACCTGTCTGAATCGCATGGAGACTTTCAACCAGTTCTATGCGCAAAAAAAATCAGTGAATCCTTTTTCGTTTACTTTTCTTCATCTGGCTTTACCTGCACTAACAACAGCAGTAATGATTGTTCCCAATTCGCCATTCACTGATCAGATCACCTCTTTTGTATGCCAATCAAGTAATTCAGGTAAGTCGTTTATTTCCACTGAACTTTGAACGAATGTTTTGGGGAAATTCAAGACGATTTCGTCGAGCAGATACAATTTCCTATAAAAGTCTATGTCATTCATTAATAGAAGTACACGAATAACAGTTACTTTAAAACGTCGATCTAATAAATCATTGATCGCCATTGTAAATGTTGCATTAGGATTTTCTTTTTGATACGAATACATTTATTTAACATTTTCATTGAATACATCTCGACGTTTAATTTCTTCTGCGACTGTGGCATATTGCTTATTATAATCACATTTGAATTTCTCCCATTCGGATGTGAAATCAGCTCCGATTATAATGAGTAGCAAAAAGGAAAGTATAAGCTAAAACTGAACATAGAAGATGCATTAGAACACTGTGAAGAGATGAAATTTCACCATCGTTAACATAGTTTAGAATTCAATTTGTCTTTCTGTCTGATAGAAGCTTTCTACAAATAATATAACATGTTAAAACGACATATCTATGTGCGTGATACCAATGTTGTCATTGTCAAATGATCATACTGACAAAAATGTGTTATCATAGTGAGATAAAATCGCAAAGAATTTATAAACTGTAGAATACTTGATACAAACGAGAAGGACTAAAAATAGTTCATCTCACTGGTTCAATGGCAGCATACGGTGTATTTGGGATATGCCTCATCGCAGTTCGGAAAAATTCGTTTTTCAATACTACGGATACTATTTCGTTTGAGAATAAAAACTCAAGTTATTTAGATCTGATCGCTCTTCTATTATCCAAAGTAAAGACGATGTAAAACTCTTACTTCAGAGGGTATAGTTCAATAATTAGCCATAGACGGTGAAGGATATACTACGCATTTTCCAGTTCCTCATCTGAATAAATCAAAACCATTCTTGTCAGTGTCATGCGACTTCATTAATTTTCTCATTTGAATTAATTTTGATTCTCATCATGACTGAAATTTCACCTGTGTGGACAAGAGTTTATTCACTCAGTGAGAAGGGATGAAAGAGCTCAACAGCGAGTTCTGTAAGTTGACTTCTGTGGCATCGTTGAACTTGTCAAATCCCAGTTTATTATTTCACTCTTATTCTCGTCAAAAAAAAGTGGAAATAGATCTAATGATGAAATAAGCAATTTTTCTTGCTTGCTAATAGTAGAACTGATGTTTCGTCTTCATGAACAAATTTCGCTGTATTTTGAGGGTGGAAAAATTGCACCAGAGCAGTATTCTGATCCGCCAAAAGTACTACTGATTTTATATTGATGGAAAACGTTTTCTAATGAGATCTCACTCCACTTAACTGTTTCTTTGTGACAATACTAATGAGTTTACTCTGAAGACAGAGCTCTCGTTAACAGAACGCTAGTCTGTCATCTTCAGCGTACTACTTGTTGTTTTTTAATAGCGCAAAAGAATCAAAGAACGTTAATTCAAAATAGATTTTTCATCCTCTGTGAAGTTCTTTACTCATGAACGACACATTTCGCGATTCTCATTTTAAGTAGAATACTTTGTTTCTATATATAATCTTCCATTTCAGACTAGAATTGCCATTTCAATTTACACAGAGAATATGTCCACAGTTGGTGACATTCTCTCTCTTGTACAGCAAAATACAATTCGTTATGGATATCCGTTTTTACTCGTCCTAGGCAACGTCGGCAACATGCTGTGCATTGTTGTGTTTCTTCAAAAAAACTATCGACAATCGTTCAGCTCATGGTATTTGCTTGCTGCCGCCGTGTTTAGTATTGTGGGTGTCAGCTGGGGAATCGGTACGAATATGTACGCTGTTTACCAGCCACCGGATCCGTTCATTATGTCAGATGCTCTTTGTCGCATTCGAGGTTACCTCCTTCAAACTTCGTCGGTTCTCACTCGAACAATGATTATCTTAGCATGTGCAGGTCGTGTGGCAGCGAGTTCCAATCGAGTGCGTATCCGTCAACTCAATCAACCAAGAGTCACAGTAAAAATAATCGCTGCTACAACTCTTTTTTGGATGATCATTTCGATTCAACTGCCTATTTTTCAGCGCATTGAGATGAATCGATGTGCTACATTCGGAGTGTTTGGACTTTGGTTCAATGCATATCAGATCTTTCTGTTTGGACTCGTTTTCCCTAGTCTGATGATCATTTTGAGCATTCTCATCTTGAAGAATCTGAAAAATATTCGTGGTTCTGTTCGACCTCAGGAACAAGCCGACAACACGCAACATCATCAGCTGTTAAGTCGGCGTGATATGAATCTACTAAGACTTACAATTGCTGAAGTTATATCGTGCTTTGTTCTCAGCTTTTTGTATCCAATCAACGGCTTATATGGTGTAATTGCAAGCAATGTACCAAACAAGAGTAAAGAACGTATACAGATTGAAGGATTTATGACTTTCTTGGCACAAATTTTCTTGCTGTACTTGAATTACTGCATTACATTCTATTTATACATGATCACATCCAAGCCATTTCGTCAAGAGATCAAACGAATTATCTTCAGAGCTTTAAAGCGTCCAGAACGTAACGACAATAGCACAATACGTCTAAGATCTATTCAAAGACAAAGAACGCACCTAACACAACGTTGAAATCACTTTTATGAGCATAATTACTCATCCACCCTTTAGAATTTAACGAAAATAAAGTCGAGAAAAACACACATATTCTCCCGTGCCGTTAAAATGCATTATTACGAAGAAAATTTGATCACATCAAAATATTCATGCGAATGAACGCTTTGAAGATCTTGACACACCCTCAAGAAAAGATTGACATTTAAAAAGGCAAAAATAGTATTGCTCTTTCCAGTTATTTTTTTTTGTATGTAATGCAGAAGTGTACTACTCCTAGTCGCACGAGATCGCTTAAGTGAACATACATATATTTCATAATTAGCACAAGATGTCTTCGTACGTTCATTGAATTTAACACTGATATATTTTGAAACTCTGGAATAGTACAGAATTCAACTAACGTAATATAAAATAGTTTTGATTTCTGAATGTATCCCATGCTAAAATTTGAAGATAGAACTAATAACCATTGCGTGTCAAAATTATTCATTACACTGTGAAATATCGGAAGGATGTGCTGGAAATCTCATCAAGCACTTTAACATTTTTGAAAGAAACCTGTAGTCTTATTGAGGGTGTGAGTGTAGATTGCACTAGCCGATGTTTAGTTGCACGCAGCCTCAGAATAATTTTTTACTAGCATAAATAAGTGGAATTCAGAAATAGCATAAGACTTCTTCTGGGTAAATAAATTATCACACTATAGGAGAAAAAAACAAGGTAGACTAGGAATTTATTACACATTGATAATATGATAGGCAATCACAAAGAAACAATATTGACGAATCACAAAGATAACATAATATATTGTCAGAAAGAATACAAAAAGATTTGTTTTGTTTTTTTCAGAGCTCCTCTACATGATATGTTTGATACTTGGCAAAATCCAATATCTCTCGCCATGAATAACGATATTGTCTGATTTCTCTGCATCGACTGTGTGCGTCTGGCTGTAGAGTCGATTACCACAAAAGTATCAATGGCTACGAGTGATGCACATTCATTACAGAGATGAATCAGTACCGCCATCCGAAGCTTATATCCTCCATCAGCAAGAGAAGGATCGATTGTAGTACCAGCAATCACAGGTGGAAACAGCAAATCATTGGCATTATGTCCAATTAATGTGACTCAAGTATATCATTCGACGCTCGTCCCTGCGGTTTGGCCTGTTTCTTACCATGGCACAGGGCAACACAATGCGTTGGACATTGCTGAAGAAGATTATAAGCTGAGTAAACACAAACGATTTTTGCATGGTAAAGGGATTTATTCATCTCCAGCACCGAAGGTCGCCCAACAATATGCAACTAGTTTTGATCGTAAAGGTACAACATATAAGTGCGTCATTCAGAATCGCGTCAATCCCAAGTATTTAAAGTGATCCCAAAGAAGGAGACAGGTGTAGGCACCTATAGGTTAACTGCAGCGGATGAAGATGAAGATATAGAAGAAAGTGAATTCATCCGCCCTTATGGTTTGTGCTTATTCAAGTAAGATAAAAGCCCATTAATTTATTTTTCAAATACTAAATAACTTTCACATATTTTCTCTCTTTGACATATAACGAAGATGATGTGTGACGATAAAGATAAAAGGCATTCTCACATCATCTCTGGATTGAATAAATCTACTCTGACGGCATAAAAACAACTTTCACATGTCAATAAAGTCTTGTACACATCATCAAAACTTATCTTGATTGTACTTTCAAAACAAAGAAATCAGCGTTCTGCGCACGGAAACTTAAGTAGGATTTATTACGTGGTTCATACATGCATCTCGTAAACATTCTGCACTTCTATCGCGTGTGTAGAAAAAAAAACGACGGTAATTATAAAGATAAAGAAAGGCTTTGACATGCAAATGAGCTTTCATATCTTCTGTGTTTCATTTATGAAAGTTAATGATTAACAAAAGGTAGAGATCATCGTCGATTCAACTATGAATGTATCTAACACGAGTACGTACGCATTGACATTATCAACAATTATTGGAATAGTTCCATTGTACATCAATTTCGTTACGATCATCGCTGGTACCATCGGTGGAGTTTGTAATTTAATAACGTTTACCGCTCCTCGGTTACGTACGAACTCGTCGGTGTATTACTTATCATGTGCAACAGTTTTTGAAATCCTCTCAATCTTATTTATTGTTCCGACACGGATCGCTTTAGATAATTTCGGAAATAATCTAGAACGTCAATCGGTGGTATTCTGTAAGATTCGTTATTATATATCGATTACATTTCCAATGCTAGTTACGTATTATATTCTATTCGCGATAGTTGATCGAAGTCTAGCTACGTCGAGGCACGTGGAGATACGTGCAATGAGTCGATTGACATTCGCACATCGAATATCTTGGATCATTTTTCTGATCGGAACAACTGCGTCTGTACATGTTTTGATATTTTTTAATACGATTAACAACACTTGTCAAGTTCCACCTGGCAATGCGTATACGATCGTTTTCGCCATTTATTTGATCATTATCATATCCATTTTACCTCATTCGTTGATGTTCATTTTTGCTTTGATTACTTTCCGAAATTTCAAACGAACGAGGCAACGAACAATGCCAATCTTAGCTTCAATAGATAACTCGCGAACAAAACGTTCGGAAAGTCAATTAATCATGGTGATTATCGCACAAATTCTTATCAGTTCTATACTTGTTTTGTTACGTTTGGGCTCCTATACCTATTCGACATTGACCAGTGGAAATCAGAATAAAACAGTTGACCAACGAGCGGTGGAAGATTTTTGTATTCGACTTGGCTTTGCATTGTATTATTTTAGTTTCGCGACCTCGTTTTATTTATCAACTTTACCAAGGAAATTTTTTCGCGAGATTTTTATTAAACGAGTACGAAAATTGTTCTATCGTTTTCTACGATTATTTTGTTGAATAAACGCAAATCTATGTCTACAACAATCTTGAGCGAGCGGAAATAATTTTCATTTTATTCGAACAATACAGTCAATTTTAGGTTCTTTTCGCAAAATTCACCTAACAATGGACCGTTCTCCTTCAAAATAATTCACATATCTCGTCGGCGCGCAAAAATTGCATTGTGTTAGTGATAACTACATAGATATTCGATATCACCCTTGGAGTTTCTATTTATATAAAATAAACATCGAAAGAAATACTTTGTCAGAGAGAGAGAGAGATAAAAAAAGTGTGACAAAAAGATGAAAGGAGTTGAGATACGAAAGTGTTGCTGCATTGTATAATTATCTCTCCTATTTGTTTTTGACGACAACAAAAAAAAGAGAAAATCATCGTTTTTTCCACTTTCAACCAATGAAAAATCATGGTCAGATCAACTTCGACTTGCTAACTCCTGCAAAATGGTCTAGATTTTTATTGTTGACGCGAGTGGTATAAAAAGGTTGAAATTTGCACGCATCTTCGTATTTTCATCAAGCATTGTAAAACAACAATCAACAGGTAGGTGACCAGCCAACGACTGTGGATCTGGGTGAGAAATTCTTCCTACGATGAACACCCACACCCATCTCTGTTCGACTCTTTAATTTAATTAATTTCTATTCTTTATAGAAAAACTCTCTTCGTCACTTATCAGGCGACAGGACGATTAACATGGACGACAAGGAGAACAACGACGCTGCAACTAAAAATGATCAGTCAGGAGAAAGTAAGAGTCAATAACAAAGTGTTCGTAATAGTTTCTAGGAGCGTATTGACCTACATTGAGATATTTCGATGGCAGTACTTTCAGTTATGCACGTTCAAGTGCATATCGAATAAGCTCGCCGTGTTGGATTGGATTTAATTCTATAAGAACGCGTTCATCTTATTAGCAGAGATCTGCTTAAGTACACTCTTTCCTTTCCGGTTCTCGCATCCATAGCATAGTGAGGAGAGATTAAAAATAGATATGAAATCTGAAAATTTTGTGAATCAAGAAAACAAAACCTCACAATTACTATAAATCTAATGGCTGTCGTTCTCATATTTCTTCATCGATTCTTTCTTGATCATTTCTAGAACTTGCAGAATACGAAAAACGCGACTTGGTGGAACGATTGCATTTGGCCAGCAAGCTCGAGCACTGCTTATTGAATGCTTATATCTACACAGCTTGCACGATTAAAAGTACTCCAGAAGAATTCGTCGATGCTGATCAAGAAAATAAGCGTTATGCTATTCAATTCGAACGAGCACGTGAATGGAAAAAAAGTATTTTTATGGTCGCACACGAAGAAATGCTTCATCTTCATTACGTTCAATGTCTGCTGCGAGCACTAGGTGAAAAACCGTACTTTCAGTTACCGGACAAAAAACCTGGTACAAACGATTGGTTCATTCCAAATTGGGATATAAAAAATGGAAAGCTATCAATGAATAACGGTGATGGTACAATAGTTCCTATTGAACCATGTACATTTGAAAATGTTCAACGATTCGTTCTTTATGAATCAAGTGATTCTCTTCAGGATATGGGTGCTCTAAGCGAAAAAGCTAAAGAACTATATGGGAAATTATTCGATTTTGAAATTCGTTTGCGCATCGAACAAATGTTAATTCATATTAAAGACAAGGATGTCCAGGATGATCTGGCCAAAAAGTTATACAATGTCTACACGCAGCTTCCGGTATCGGACAAGCCACAAGCACCATTTATTCCAATGTCGTTTATTGCACCAATTAGACCCGAAAGCTTTCAATTTCAATCTATCGGAGATTTATATCACAACGAAATACAGCCATTATACGATATGGCATTTGATAAACAATGGACTCGACAAACTAATTTTGATCTTGTGGCTGAACAAAAAGATCCGAATGTTGCTGCTGAAGGGTTTTTACCATTGACGCCTAATTATCGATACAAGAATTTTCCGGACATGAGCAAAGGTGGAATGAAAAGTCATTGTAACAAAAAGAAGTCGGCACATTGTGAATATGATATACCGGGATGGTTTAAAAACAAGGAAGATGTGCACAGAATTATTAACGAAATAGTCGACGAAGGTGAAGGATTCGACCAATTTTATGAAAGAGCAGAACAACTGCTGAATTACGTCGCAAAAATAGGTGGTGCTCGTGCATATTTACAACAAATAATTCTGGATCAAGATAAAACAAATCCATCAAAAACACCAGAAGAAGTGAAGGATGGCCAACGAGTCAGAGAATCGCATTTATACCGTTTTGCTATGATCATGACGGCTTTCCAACAAGAAAAAGATTTTGCCGCGCGTGCCGGTATGTCGTATGAAGTTAATCGAACGCCAATAAATATCGACGGAAACACCCAACTGGATAATCTTTGTCAGGAATTGCCGGGTTATTTCAATGCTTGCTTCCTTCCGATGATAATGTGGCTTTCAAGAATGTACGAAATAAAGGACTGGACAGCTGATAAACCACGACGACAGGCTATTGAAATGCTTGCCGCATGGCCAATCATGTCACTTGGTATACGTCCGTTTTTGGAATTAGCTTCATTCTTCAAAATCGAACAATCGAAATTATTTTCACTTGCCGATGTCGATTTACCTTCTTCGTTGACAGATGCTTTGGAGCTACTGAAGCTGTACAATAATGACGACCGATCAGAAGAAATCTATACACAAATGGATGATTTGGCATTAAACATATTGGAAGCTGTAGGCGCATGGGCAGAAAATAGCCGTGAATTGGTAAAAAGTCTACAAATTCCTGAACATACAAAAACAATGATCCTTACTCGTCTAACTGGTCTTATTGTCCTTAAAGAATTTAAACTACAATTCGAATTTCGAATGCATGGTGGCTATTCAAACAAATCGCCTGATGCCAACTATGAACTACGTCATTGCGATAGTCATACCTACGAAGAAGATCCAAACTTAGGAGATGACAGTGGAAAAACTAAAATCTATGAGGACGCGTTGTTATTACGTCCACGTTTTTGCAGGATGGGGACAGGTACAATTGGCTACGGATCCAGATCCTCCTACTGACGAAAGTGGCTGTTCCGGTACACATATGCTACATGCAACAGATGGAAAGAGTGTCTTCAATCGTGCTCTTGTATGGCAGAAACATAATATTTCTAATGAAATTATTCGCGAACCGGCCAAAGATTTACCTACAATTGGTGTTAACTGTATCGATGTTTCTCTGATGGCTTCTGATACAAATACAACTGTAGGCTACGTACCTCTATCAGAAATGCAATCGTTGGGTGCCGTACAAGCCAGTGGCACACAGTTCGACCTTGACATCAGTGGTGTGCATGAACTTTTGCGTTGTACACCAAAAGATATTTTACAACAGCCCGACAAACAGATACGCATCGATTTACTGGATAAAGACGGAAAGAAACCATTGTTGCTGGGAGAGAACCATTTAGTTTGGAAGGATGGCGAACCGATTGATCCGTTTATTCTATCTGTTGGATGTGATACAGCTGATCAAACCACAACGGTAGAATTTGAACGAGAAGTCTTCAATGATACAAATGTATCAATGATTCGAATGACACCATTAGAACGTTTATTTAGTCAACGAGGACCAGTCGGCTTTGATTCCACAGCAAATATACCAACATGGGCCAAATGCAATTTTTTGAAAGATCCAGAAAAATCAATGGTGGCAGACGATTATTTAAAAGATCGAGCAAAACATCTGTGCGATGCAATGAAAGTCAAGCTCGACAAAACATTAGATCAACTGACTGTTAAAGATGCAACCGAAATTATTTCATATGCAGAACGTATGAATTTAGTCTCTTTTCCGCGTCACACCACAAGAGCATGGCTCAACGCAACTCTTCATTATGGTCATACAATCAGTGGAACCTTAAAACTTGGTGGAAATAGTTTAATATTGAAAGCGATCCAAGAGAAAACTGGTCTGTCTTGTTCTCTTGTCGACGATCCAAATCGAAAGACAAGTAATTCTCGTTGGCTCGCCAAATACACTTTAGGTGCTATGGATACGGACGCTTTGTCTAATTTTATTTTTGGTGAACTCTATATGCCACTAAAAATTACCAAATCAGACAAGGAAATCGAATTCGTCAAAACATGGGTCTATACTAATAGTTTATTTCAAACAATTGCTGAATTTGCTTGCCGTTTCGATAAACCTTTCTGGAACAGTGACTATCAAATAGTTGGCAACCAAACGCGTACGTTNTTATAGGACCATGGAGATGAACTCGCATATACACTTGCACTCGGTATATATAATAGGTAATCTGTCTGGAGGGACGTTAACAGGGTGTTGTCTAGTATGGTGTTTCGAACAAGAGATAAAGATGATACAAAGGTTTTTTGAGTTTTTAAGGCAAATTGATCAGATAATGCTTGAATTTGCGACTGAAACAATTGAAAAGGTATGACAAACTCACTAAGAAACTCGCTGGCATAGAAGCGATCCAAACCATCTGATAGAGCTTTCGCAATCAGGTCACAGAATGCGCGTAGAGTTTGAAATGAGTGACTACTAGTCCACCGAAAATCGTCAACGGTTAGCGTAACATTTGCAGGAAAGGAACTTAGATAATTAATCCACTGTTCGCTGACGAAATCACTTGTACATACTTGATGAAATGAATACTGCACTTCAACAAACTTCTCATATTCGATTGATATATCTGTGCAGGGACACGTTAATGATTGCGGATATTTGGAATATAAATGTAAATATTCATTGAGACTGGGCGTTTTGACCGTAATAGTTTCTGTAATAGTTTCTATTGAGTTGTATATTAATAGGATTATAAGTACGATTGTTAGCAAAGTAAGATACACTCTGGTGGATATTCTTTGATTTTGTAAATCGTAGTCGTTGGCTGCAGGTGGTATAGACGGAAATAAGTTGAACGTTCGGCAGAAATGTTTTGTTTCTTGCCATAATCCTCGAATCTTTTGAGCGATCGGCATGGTGGAAAATACGACTTAGATTCTAATTAAAATATCTATAATGTGAAGAAATCTACATGAGAAATCTATATGATCAATTTTCAAACCAGCTCCTCGCAATTAAAATACAAAGAGAATAAGTTTAAAAAAAAAGAGTCGTGAGCAATATTCATATAGTGATATTTTTTGGTGTGAAACCGGGGTATTGTCAGGAAGAAATTGTTCGCAGTACGAGCACGGTGTTTTCATTGATGCAAAACCGTGGGTAAGTCAGGAGAAATTTTGTTTAGCATAGAAGTAATATGATGATTGAGCCTGTGGGCGAAAAGAAAAGAGCAAAGAATATTTGCATCCTCAAGCATTATAACTGGCGCTGTCACTCTCGTAATAAAGTTTTTTTTCTAATTTGAGCGACGAATCACTATTGGATCCTTCTAGACATATATTTCATTCCAACTGCAAATGCATATTTTGTTAAAAATCGGTTCAGTATCACTAGTGCTTATTATGATAGCCACAGCGATCACACTTCCGATAGTTATGCATTTCTTGCGACAGAATAAGGATACGGCTATATCGTCAAGTAAGATTTCATTGTACATAATTCTTTTTGTTTGTTGAAGTTTGCTCATGTCATAGATGAGACCACAACAACAGCAGCAGCAAGTCGTACGACATTAATGACTTCAAGCCAAGAACATGGTACTGTTATGATCCTTATAGGAATACGTAGACTATTTTTCAGGATATGGAGAGTTCTTACACCGACACCTTCTCTTTCTTAAACGGTGCGTGTATATTTTTTAGGTAATTCAACGAATGTCACAGCCAACATAGGCGTTAATACAACTGCTGTTATAGGTAAGGCTACAACAAGTTATCAAGTTTGTTGTATACTTTGCATATTCACTTAGCAACGTTTCTGACTTTTAACAGTAATTTCGTTAGGCAGCGGTTATTTGAGAAAGGAAAGCTTCGATTTCATATTGATATATTGTCAAAATGAGTCGAGTTTAGTACTTCAAAATCGAATCTCTAATTACAAATAAAGAAGATTATTCGTTTTATTTCTTATGAGTAGATGATGCTTCAAAAACACAATCGATATATTCTTCGGTTCTGAACAACGCTAGTCTGATCTATTGCCGCGACGAGAATCCCTACACGTGCACATCATCTGCATATAATTATTATGACATTATTGAAATCAATGTGAACACTAGTGGAAATTATACTATTACGAGTAACAGTAAATTTGATACATATGGATATATTTATAACAAGACGTTCAGTCCTTTTTTCCCGTCTGTAAATTTGGTAAAATCAGCTGATGATGAAGGTGGAAATCATCAGTTTCTTTTCGATATTGATTTACAAGCTGGAACGATGGTTACTCTGGTGATTACAACATATAGTCCAAATACTGCCGGCGCGTTCTCAGTCATTGTTGCTGGCCCCACAACGGTGCAGTTCTTGCAACTAAATATAACAGGTAACAATCATCTTGCGAGTTTGGATGAGGAGATCTGCTTTTCCGGTATTATTGGAAGAACATAATTTTCGAACTTGCTTCTAAAATATATAGATCTTCTTGTTTTTTACATAATGATTGGATAATATTTTCTAGCTCCAAGGCTACCTCTGCCGTCACCAATAAATCTCGTAGCCTTTCGAGGTACTAATCGGACTCTCACTTTCGGTGTAGTAGGATCTGCCAGTGCAAATATATGGGGCACAACAATTTACACAGATGATTCGCCCACGGCCGTAACTTCTGTGCATTCTGGTTTCGTCCGCGTTGGTCAAAGATGCGTAGTCACATTCATGATGCTACCTGGCCAAGATGAGTATATAGGTAGTACACAAAATGGTATCACATCGAGATCATGGATTGCATGGGTTGGCAGCTATACCATTATCCAATCTACTTGCATTGATTGACAATCTTTTTTTTTTGGAAGATGAGAATCACATTAAATAATTCACAATATTTACATCCTATACGATGAACTTATAAGTATATTAAATATTGTCAGAAGAAGTCTTACGCTCTGATAGGACTAGGAAGATCTACTTGCTCACGGTACACTGAAGACGTCTGTTGTCAAATATGAAGAACGATTTTGTATTCTGTTTCCTTGTTAATTATATCACACAACGGGATCTGAGCATGTAACTCCACAATATTAAAAAAAAGTAATCAGAATTTTTTCTCGGTGGCCTAGTCAGGTATCAGGCCTTACATACGCCACTAATGCGGAGCACTCATCTCTTGGATAATAATAGCATGAAGGTTATCTGTAGCGTAATGAACTCAGTTCTGTCGGTTGACATGATCCTTCAACTTGAAAATTGCTTCATCCGCTCAAACAATTTCTTTCATCATTCGTCGAAGACTGCTTCTAGATGCATTCAGGTCTAAAGAAGCTCTTCTTTGCGAAGACGGCCGGATCGCGATTTATCTTCGAGACTTCCGGTTTTGCCAAATTTGTGCACAAGACTCAAAATATTCTCTGATGTTTTGAAGTGCTAAAATAAACTTTTGTTATACAGTTGACTACAGAAGTCGTCAAGTAAATGTTCTCAGCTGTAATTCGAATTAGAAATCTTTTTTTTTTAAATACTTATGAGTTAACTTTCAAGACTATAAGCGAAAAAGGACTATGACGAGCACATAGTAATCGAATTCCAATTATTATGAATAATTTCAGCAAGAGAAAACGTTTACTGTTAGTCATTCAGTCGAGGATTAAGCGAGTCTGCTTCGACGAGCGTTACTATAACTTTAAATAACAACACAATCTCAATCGCTTTAATTTGGCGTATATCAACTACAGTAGAAACGCAATGCCTAAATACTAAAATACATTTTGATCGCATGACAAGAAATAGACATCAATTCATGATCAGACCGTTGCAGAAAAGTGCAAGTACAAATACTTGTGTCCTAGCTCTGAACAATAGCTCAAAACGAGATAGAGATTAAGGCAAATATACTAATTTGGGGTGAGTAAGTGCGTCTGACTAGATAACAGAAGGCTGTTTTCTCTCGGTTGCTCTTTTGCTGATGTTCCAATTCTTGTTGAATCTGAAACTATAAGAGATTACAAACTAAAAAAGATAATAAAGGAAAGAAATTTCATCCATAGATAAAAAATTTGTTTTTGAGGTAATTCTTTCTAATTACTTAGAAAATGTTTTCGCTTTTCTGACTCACAACTTTAAACATATAAGAAAAATACCGTTTTCTACTTGAATTTATGAAGTCGTTCACGATTGTTTTTCTTTCCATAATCAAATCAAACGTCTCGTACACTGTTTGCTGTGATCGCTATCTCTGTTTGATTTGGATAAATACGATTCTGTCGAAATCGATTCATATAAATGTCATATAGAACGTATTTTGCTTGACGCCGAAATCGTTTCGATACAATAATATATGTATAAAATGAACTCTAAACAGACCACTTATAGGAATTTATCTTTCTGAAATGGATCTTTTTACCCCATATGATAAAATATTCCATGTCAGTACAACTGCGTTCACCAAATTTAATTGAGCAAGAACAACAGGATCATCAATTGTAATTAATGATAAAAATCCACTGGTGATTGTGAATGGTATAAACGTACACATATAAACACTGATTTCGACAAGAACCATAACTGTCAGTTGTTTGTCTAATTCACGACGAACCATCGGATTTGCTCTCGTTGTTAGTGTTCGAGCATTTCGATACGCCAATATACCGAATAGTACTGCAACCAATGGGAAAAGATTGCTTATTGTCAAATAAACTCCATACGTTTCATATCGTGCAAACATAGGATCGAATGAGCTACAAATAGCTGCATTTGTCGGTGACAGATCTCGGATATAAATGAAGAATAACACAGCATGTGCTGCCCAAAATATCGAAACAAGAATTGTCATTCGATGAGCTACTTTGATATTTGCCCATCTTTGCCACCGTGGACATGTGTATGTTACAAGATATTGATCAATTACAGCTAAACATAACATGGTTGTTGAACTGATTGCAGAAAATGCAATAACGAAATTTCTTATTTGACAATATAAAAACAACACTGATCTCCAATGGACTGTAAATGCTATTGAAATAATAATAAGAGATGTACTGAATATTAGTCGAAAGAAGTTGAATATTGACATGAATAAAAGATAAAATGAACAAGAATTTTGTCGGAATGTTTCAAGACTAAGAAAGACAATAATGCTAAGGAATTCACCGAGGAGAGAAATAAACCAAATCGGAATCGATACATAGAGGCCGAATTGTGATCGAATATTGTAGAGATATTCGATATAATCTGTATTCATTTGGGCTGATTGGAACGAAGCAACAAAGTGTTTGTTTTGTCTTAATTGACGAAGAAGAAGTAGCAAAGTTGAATAGGAATGATGAAAAAGGAAATTGGTTAATACTTTCTCTTTTCTTAAGTGGTAAACTAATGTGTTGAATGGACAACGAAGGAAATCTATTAGCAAGTGAAGTGCTTACTAAGTATACATTCTCGGAATCTTCATGCCTTTAGAATAGAACCAACGCGTCGGTCCTTAGGACAGATTTAACACAGTTCTCAGTCACGTGATAAGTTTTGGTGGGCGAACAATTTATCGCACAAGTAATTACTCGTGTAATTAATCAGTTCTAGCATAGAGATAGATGTGAATGTTCCGTAAGGGTAACTACAATCGTAAAAAATGCACGACATGTAATGAAATAGACTCAACAAAAAGAAAACAACTAAATATTTCAAAATCACTCATTATTTTGTATAGTCTTTTCAGTCACAAGATCGAAAAGTTCATCAACATAGTAAATAAGATGGAATTTTTTGTCCTATACGATCAACTCAGTCATATTCTATGTTGAAAATTATAGTAACTTTTTTTTAATGCTCACAATACCGATAGATTATTAGGTTCGGCTTAGTGTGAGGAACGAGATGGTTGGTGATACTGTATATACGTCATTGAAGACAATTAGAATCATGAAGATGCTCAAGATCTGATGAATAATAGATGAGGTAGCTTTTATACAAGATAGTGAGTCAGAACGCGAGGCCGGTGCTAAGAGTTACACTGTTACCTTAGCCTCAACGGCACTCCTCATCCACACCTCAATGCCTAACATAATGTGTTCTTTGTATTATTTATTAATTTGCTTAGGAACATTAGTTTGATACATTGTGTGATCAAAACAACTGTTATTCATATCCTGACTACACTCGTTCTCATAGTCTTGATTCGGGAAGTAGTCTTTGCATGAATCATTTCGTCGAATGTCCCAAGTGACTAGAAAAACAAATTTCAGTTTATCTCTTGATTTTTCTAAAGAACTTTTCTTACCACAATGAACACCGCCACCAAATTCATTCAAGACACGTAAAGGACATGTGATAATATCAAATCCCAGGTCGTCAAGAAATTGATAAAGTGGTACTTCGCATTCTTCAATGATACACGATCGTTCATTCAATGATAAAATGTTCATATTGACATTCGGAGAACAGAGTGCCATCGGTGTTCTCTCATTTGTGGCTGGTAACGGACACCAGAGCGGTCTCCAATTATTATCGAGAAAAATTCGTAGTTCATTGGCGAGCGGCGGTCGGTTTTGATTGATAAGTAGAAGCCCTTCGGATCCATCTGTTGGTGGTCGGAGTGGAATCAATGATGAATCGAGATGAACATCAGGTGCTGTGGGAAAATGCATTGCATGAAAACGTATATCTTCACCAAATGTCCGTCTCAACCACTCGAGTCCTTGATAATTAGTCGAAGCAGATTTCTTGTAGAAAACGTCTTTCCCCATTCGAATCATATCCGCTGCGTCAAATGCAATTTCCTTTTCATTCAAACTTGTTTTGTATCCATTTGCAGCGAAATTTCGTTTGTATTCATTTGAACTGATTGATCTCCAGAGATCCACATCATCAAACATTGATTTGGAACACGTGGCCTTCGGAGGTGATAGCCATTTGGCTTTTTTATCTTTGATGTAAAACGGATAAATCATCTCGCGATAAAAGCTTCCTTCGAAATAACGTGTATGAAACGCTGTCGGTGCTTCTACAATTGTATTTCCTAAGGTAATCAACACATCTCGTGGACATGCGAGACCAGATTGAAAATGAGATCGAAAGAAAGGAGTTTGAATCGGCTGATCAAATTGTTTCCCATCCGCTGGTGATCGACATACTTCGACTTTTTGTTTACATAAAACTTTCTCGTCCATTGAACTCTTCTCCAAGTAGGTACGTTTCCTTTTCAATAAAACATTGATGTCTTCATCCATTTCCTCAATTGTTTTCACTTGTACCATTTCACTCTGCAAAATATTCGACAAATTGTCCAGTTGTTCTTGAGCTAACTCAATCCGGGAAGTTGGTCGATATCCAACAAACGACGTCACGTACCGTCTCATTTGTTCATTTGTAACTTCATGCCAAGGAAATGCATATTCATCATCGGGATAACACATTCCTCGAGCACTTCCCACACAAACCAATTCCAATTGTCCCCATTCCGTCCATGAATTTATCAAGCAATTCTCATCCGACATCATCTGTTAAGAAATTCAACTTTACAATTATCATAGAGAGAAGGACAGATTAAATCTGCCATGAAACACATGCGTCAGCACATTTTTGCACGATCATTCTTTACCAAGGAGAAACTCTTATCTTTTATGACACAACTTTGTACTACTCATTTATTTTCAATTTAGATAAAAAAAAGTGCTTCAAGTTTTGACTTGAAAGTTCGGTTTCCATTCCGGCTGGATGAGTTTGCCGGAATATTCAAAAGGACCCGGACCATTTTCGTTTTCTATAACATTTGCATTAATCGATCCGTTATAAAGCAAATCATTCTGACGAACTACTTGTTTAATTTCAGTTAGAATATTCAATCTCCGAAGATTTGTAAATTGATCTTGAGAATTAAATGCAATGGCGATCTTGGAAAACCGTCGACCGTTTCTTGAACTTTGAGGATGTAGGCCAACAAGAAAAAATCCTCGCTCTCCAATACTAAATGCGAAATCTGTATGCGATGGATCATTGGAATAGTTCTTCGACCATTTCATTCCGTTCCTCACGTCTTCCTCATGTAATTGCTGCAATTGCTTCCAAAGCAAAATTTCGAAGATGTCTTCACTTAAATTCTCCGGTGTACGAAAACATGCCACATAGGTGGTGAAGATGTGATTGTTTTCCCAGAGGAATGATTGTTTGTTGATGAATTTCATGAGATTTTGCCAGAGAAGTTTGGTGGTTTCTTCACTGCAGAAAGTATCGTATACATCGAAATCGAATGCATTTCGTTTCAGCGCGATTTTCGCGTTTAGACATGGAAAATTTTTACTGAAGACGTGCTGCTTAAACTCTTCTTTCATTTGGCAATCTTCATTTGAAATTGAGAAATTCAGGTTTCTTTGTATCAAATGATTTTTTAAATAAAACGAAGGTTTTTTGTTGTTTGGATTGAGACGGATCTTTCCGATTCGATATTTTCTATTCAAATGTTCTTTAATCAAGTCCGGTTTTAAATGTATTTCGTAGAACAGTTGAGTAAGATCTCTTCCGGAGAGCTTTTCGATAATATCTAGACCACCGGAATGAGCTTTCATTGATAAAAGGCAATAAACATCGTCGTCAATGATCACCCAACGATCATTTTTACGTTTCATCACTTCGTCGATGGTAAAGATTCGAGTTGACCGGAATGGAATTTGTGAAAGCAATCGTTTGATTAGCGAAATGAGTAAGAAGATCAAAGATATCATTCTTTGATTAAATAAAAAAAAAAGGTGCTTGTTTTTATACCTGAGAAATAACACTTTTATTTTATCTCTCTTTCTGTTCTCGTTCGTGATGACAGCTGAGTCAACTCAAAGCAAATACGAAGATTCAATTGATTAGTATGTCACAAGATTACAATAGTTTTTCAATGAATAGAAAAAGATTTAATACTGAACTAAGTCGATACTTCGCATGTGGATAGAATTCACATCGATATTTGACACGTTGTTGTCTTTGAAAATATATTCCATGGCAAAAACATTGTCGGGAAAACTGATATTGTTTGACGGCAAAATTTGTTACAAATATTTCACCGTCGAAGTTCTAGATATAATATAACAGAGCGAAAGAACAAGAAAGAAAAAAGTCCTCATTGTCATTTGTAGTTTTACAAGTTGCTTTTTGACAGAAAATCCTTTCGGAATTTGTAGAATGATCTTAGAATATCTTATCCTGATGATCTTAGTCAGGAAAATATCGAGTAAGTTTTCGAGAATTTTACTTTAGAGAAGATCATTACAGACGACCATGTATTAAGTGTCAACAAGATTACCACTTAATGCATCATGGGATCAAAATGGTACTATAGTCATCGGATCTCCAAATGGAATGGAGGGAACATCGCTTACTCAGCTCTCTCATCCCGTGGGAATAACAATTTCAGATGACGATGTTCTTTATATTGCTGACACAGAAAATTATCGTGTTCTTGTCGTTGATCTTAACAATAGCACGAGCACCTATGCTATATCTAATCTAGAACAGTCTGATGTACACTATGACGTTTTCATCTTCAACACATCTCTCTACGTTCTTAACTTGAACAAGAAACGAGTGCAAAAGATGTCCCTAAATGGTTCCAACTCAGTTATGGGTACTAATCTGAGTGAACTAGTTTCGCCAACGTATATGTTTATAGACAAGAATGGGAATATATATGTTAGTGATACTGGTAGTCATCAAGTGTTCGTTTTTCGATCAAATTCGACACGTGGCTCAGCTGTCGCGGGTAATGGAACGAATGGAACGACTTATGAGCAACTAAATCGACCGTATGGAATACTTGTAAATGATGTCGGAACGATCTATGTTGCAGATTGTGGAAATAATCGGATCATGAAATGGGCATCTGGAGTGCAATCTGGCGACGTATTAACAAAAGTCTATGCACCAACAGATATCATTGTTGATGAAAATGAATACATGTATATTGCTGAAGCCGATAAATCCCGGATAACTCGATATGCTCCCGATTCAACGTTTAGTGCATGCATTGTTGGTTGTACAGACATATCTGGAATTGTAACAAATCAATTGAGTGGTCCACACTCATTAGCATTCGATAGTCATGGTTCACTTTACGTCTGTGATTGGGGAAATCATGGAGTACATAAATTCGAACTTCTGAACTCTCCTAGTAAGTATTCATTTGTTTTCTCAGTCAAAAATCTCATTCGACATGTCTCTAGCTGCGTACAATCAGCCAAAAATTATTGCCAATCAAACATGGGATCAATGTGGAAACACTATTATCAATGGTACTGCTTTGAAGTTCTATCCTCTCGGAATGTTCATTGATTCAAATGATACAATATACGTAGCTGACACTACCAACAAATACATTCGTATTCAATCGAAAGAAAACCTTCAATCACAACGATGTTTAACTGCTAACTTGTTTCGATACACAAACTTATTTGTGACATTGAACGGTGATATTTACTTTGAAAATGGTGGTGAAAACGGTCGCATAGAAAAGTTCACGTCAAATTCAACAAACAGTTCATTTGTAGCTCAGTTTTCAGGAAACTGTTTTGGCCTTTTTATTGACATCCGAAATAATCTTTATTGCTCCGTTAGACATGAACATCGAGTAGTGAAAATGATGTTAGATGATGACACTCGTACAGTGATCACAATTGCTGGAACAGTAAATAAAACAGGATCACGACCATACGAATTAGATCAACCTTGGGGGATATTTGTTGATGCTAATTTTAATTTATACGTGGCTGACCATCAAAATAACAGAATTCAGTTTTTTCCACATGGAAAAATGAACGGAACAACAGCAGCCGGAAGGAATAGTTTAACAAACTTGACGTTAGATCATCCAACTGATATTATCCTTGACGGTGATAATGATTTGTATATTGCTGACAATAGAAATCATCGGATAGTTCGAGTACGAAACGGTTGGCATGAATGTATCGTCGGCTGCAGTGGACAATCAGGATCGGCATCAGATCGGCTTAACATTTCGTATTCTGTTCGTTTCGATAGTGTAGGTAGTTTATATGTTGCTGATGAAAGGAATCGTCGCATTCAGAAGTTTGGTATTTCAGGCAATTCATGTGGTAAGTTATCGTTTTATTCATAGAAAGTTAATTGTAACCCGTTTTATCATGCAGCAATCTCCACAACTCCTGAATACACGACAAGTTCATGTCAAACTTCAACAAATGAACTCACAACGATAAGTACAAAGCCTACAACAACTTCGAACTATTTTCTGGCACCGTTATGCGAGATCTCCACAAATATCGGCTGGAATTGTAATATATCTGGTACAATTTGCGATATACAACAACCATGTTTACACAATGGCACTTGTGATAGTATAAATCATAACCAAGATTATAATTGTTCATGTGTGCCTCACTTTTCGGGCAAGCATTGTGAAGTTGATGAACGTATCTGCAAAGAAAATACTTGTTTGAATGATGGTAAATCCACTTGCTTTACTTTCAACTGAAGAAAATGATCTTTCATTCATAGGTAATTGCAGCGTAGCATCGAATTCCACGTACCGCTGCACGTGTTCACCCGGTTACGAAGGAATGCGGTGTGAAAAACGAATCAATTATTGTTTAAATATCACATGTTACAATAAAGGTGTTTGTCGTCCTTTATTACTCGATTATAGATGTGAATGTCTCAGTGGAACTTGGGGAAAGCAATGTGAAAACATTGAAACAAAGATTACTATCATTAAAATCGTAGCAAAATCGTTTGCTTATATTGCAATTTTAGCCATGATAACTGTGGCATTGTTTATCATTATTATGGATGTTTTGAAATATTTTTTTGGTATTGATCTGACTAAGAAAGAAGTCGAACGTATTCGACGCGCAAAGAAACGTCGACGACCGGTTATTCAACGATTCGTTTATGTGAATGCTTTACCTTCATCGAAAAAACGATCACTTTCACCGATAGTTGAAGAAGTTACACACGCATCGTAGGACAATCGGATGTCATTACAATAAAACATTAATTAACGTGCTTTTCTGTTAACAAAAATTTCGCCTAGTATTTCATATAAACAGAAACATATTCTATTATTGCACTAACTAATCGTCTCTGACAGACGCCATTTATGATCGCTCACTCTGAGCGACCGAGTTTTTTCTGGTTAAAAATAGACTTTTTTTCTCTGTGAGATATCAAACGCTCGTTCAATTACCAATCGGATGTGGTTATGCGAAAATTAAATTCAAATGACAAAGGTTGTGTTTGCTCTGGAGATGCTGCATCAAATCAATGAGAATCTGATTTACTTTTTCCACTTGTGTAAATCGATTAACATCTATCGTTGAATGTGTTCGAGCGTGAGAAAATGAATTGATTTTTAGTAAATTGCACGAAACCTGTGTGAAATCGGATTCTTTCTCTCAAACAGCTTCGACAATCGTGGTATTTTTTATAACTTTATAAATATACCTTACGTTTTATGCAAGGTGAGACATGTTCTTTCTCTTCTCAAAATATCAATATTGATGAAAGAAAAGTAGTATAATCGAATTTTTTGGTTCTCTACGTTGGTAAAAACCAAAAAGTCAGTTTATTGACTTTTGTTCATGCCGTTATAAATACCCGAGAATTTCTTAGTTGCTGTATTATTTTCTAATATCCTGGACATTTTCTGAAATAATGGCTTCATTGCTGTTTGACGACAATGGATACTGTCGATTTCGATCTCGCTCGAATCAGTACCATAAGGAACAAACAACGAACAGTTTGGGATGTGTCATACCGAGTCTTGCAAAGCCGCTATCGACAAATTGCATTCAGGTGTGATAGTATTTGCCTTAGTACTTATCTTTCTTATTTTTAGTGGGCTTGGAGTTATCCAATCAGCATCTCAAGGTTTACAGGCTGTGTTAGGCGCATTATCATCCACTGTACTTGGCTTCGTTTTACAAAATGATGACAGTTGCACTCTCGATGTTGCTGATGCGGAACTATGCGAATCAGAATGTTTTCATTTACTTCGAATTGTTGGAGCTCATATGGAAGAGTTCAGAAACAGCCCTCTGAAGATTTATTTTCACACTGATGAACATCTGTTTGAACAAACGATTTGGTCACTTGGTGATTTAAGCACATATGTCGGGAATATTGTCACATTCTGTGCTTCGGCTCATGTGGGGCATGTCAATATAACAGCTTTGACAGATATTCTGTCAACATTATTGAAAACACATGTTAGCGAAGAACGGTCATCGATAAACAAAACCGAAACAGTTATAATTTATTCCGAAAAAAGCAAAGAATGCGGGGTGTTGAAGTTAAACTTTACTGGCGATCAGATTAAAACAAAAGGTTGCTGTGATGAAGGTACAAACACTAAAATACATGTTAAAAAGGGTATGATCGTCTTCAAAGATAGCAAAGAACTCTTACTCACTTTACGAACATTTGCCCGAGAAAATCGTCAATAACTTTCATTTCACTATACCTTATCAAATTAAAAACAATAAAAACTTATTCTATCTGTGCACAGGAATATTCATCGGTAATATTTGACGTCTTAACCGATTGACAAGTTTCATTTGAAGTTCAGGTAATGACAGAATCGAAACAAAAGGAAATAAGAGTATCATGAAATAACTAAAGAATATGGAATATTCGAGAAAATCTATGATGATATCTTCGCCAACATCACAGAGAAGAATAGTGTAGGAAATCGATAATGGTAAGTAAAAGAGAAGATAAAGAAATGCAATCGATAATAATTGAATGGTCATTTTCCGATATTTCCGCCAATGAACTGCTTGATGCAAGCGAAATTTCTGCCAGATAACACGTACGATTAGAGCAATACTAAACACAATAATGATGACCACTGGTAAGATTTGGTGAAAAATCGTTTGCCCGACGGAAAATTCCGGATAAATGTCATATAGACAAGAATAAACACATGTTAGCGAAACGTTATCAAATGAATTTTGACAGGGTGGGAGAAAATAAACAATTATATGAAAAATTAAACAGTAGAAAACGATTGAAATTAATGGAAAATAATGAAGAAAGAATCGTTTGGTTTTCGTCGATATCCATTTCTCATGAAAAATCAAAATATGTCGTTCAATTGTTGCCCAAGAAACAAGAAATGATTGAGTTATGTAAAGATCCCAATCAAGAAACGTTCGGATCGTGCAGAAAAGATTCGATGCTGCTAACGCACTTCGCTGGTGGTAATAATAATACAACATCCACGGATAAATTGTTAGTTCGTAAATAAGAACAATGAAAAGAACGACGATAATCACATGATTGTGAAGAGCTGAACGCAATGTTCGATCGAAAAGAAGGTAATAGAGAAGAAACAAGGAACAAATCAGAGATGGAATTAGAAAGAGAAGATACGACCAAAAGACAGCGAGATTCGATATCATTGTATGAAGGATTGAAGAAATTCTTCAAGTGACTATAAGTTCAAAAAACGGCATGTTTCTCATTAGAGATCAAAGTTGAAAAATGATTCTAATACAAATATTTTTCCATTAGAAATAGCATCAAATTGTAAGAAGAGTTGGTTCGTGTTGTGTTTGTTTCCGAGTATTGAATTTCCTTTGGAACTGCTCATCAGATAAAATTAGAACACTCACGAGTCAATTCATCATTTTGATGAATGTCGATCGCATATCAAAACAACGTCTGTACAGGGCGGAGTGAGGGTGAGAGGGTGTTCCAGCTGTCATGATAATGACGACAAAAGCCGATATAATATTATCACATCGCATCTAGCTGTCAAGTGAATCCACCAACTGGGAACATATCGGCATGTGCAGCTGTTTATGCATGTAGTTCAAATATTGCAAGTTATTCTGTCTCGTCATTTTCAAGCTATCAAACAAAGACGATTATCGGTCTGGCAAAAGATGGACATTTGATTTATGGACCTTATTTATCTTCAAGCACACGCGTAATATCTGGCTTTGATGCTTGTAATGGAATGTTTCATGATTCAAATGGGAACTATGCTTATTTCGCAACATCAACATATCCGTATCTTGTCGGCTGTTTTGGTCCTGCGAATTATCCGTCGTTTGGTCCAAATTGTACAACCAATGGTCCAACGAACTATACAATGTCATCTTATGCACAAGCATTGATGAATAGTACAGTCATTAATTCTACAACAACGACAGCTTTATTAAATACCACTACTACAACTGCTCGTCGAGCAAATTCGATGAGTATTCGATTGAATTTCAGCATCAATCTTCTTCTTTTATTTCTTATCATTACCATGATGTGAAGAAATGGACAATGTTTTGAACGAGAACATTTTCCCTTACTAACGAAGTTTACTCCTAAAGAACTAATAATCAATTCCCATGCGTATTTAAAAGAGATTTTGAAAAAGAGCATTTTTAGCGTGAAACATAGCATCGTTTCATTTCCCGTACGAATAAACTGCACACCTTAATGATTTACCTAGCAGAAACATTGCATGCTTCGACAAATGAAGTTCTATAGTTTTGGTGTTGTACATTTGATCTCACATAATCAGTTTTTCCCTCTTGGAAAATGGTGGTACAGAAAGTTTAGAGTTGTTTCAATATACAGAAGCACATACTAATATCATCATACATTCACAACAAGTGCAGACTAAAATTCGAGACTATCGAAACTGTTAACATTTTAATAAATCATAATGTAAATAATTCCGATGAATAATACTTCGTTCAATAAAACAGAGATTCTGTTCAGCACATTGTCGTGTTATTTAACAGAAAATATCTATTCTCTTCAATATCGATTACTCCTTTGTCATTTGAGAATTTAGATTAAAACCATTTTGACCTATTTATTTCTAGAAAACATTCTCTTTGATTTGAAAAAAGTATGACTTTCCTATGTTTGGTGACATTAAGGATAATATTGATAAAACGATTTGCTTTGATTTCCTGTACGTCAAAACGAACTAAATACTTCAGTTTAAAAATCGAGCCTGCCTCACACCTGCCATGATGAGATTACAAAGATTATTAATTATTCTAGCAGATGTTAATATCAATCAAATTTGTCGCGTCAAAACAATGATCATTAGTGACGAGAATTGAAAATAGATTGTTACATTTTATTTTGGTGTTGTTTAATTGAGATGAACGAAGAAGAAACGACAAATACTCAATCAAAAATATTGTATTGAAAACGATTTTGAAATCTATTTGAAAGAAAGTCTTGTGTGATATAGATATGCGCAGGTTCGAACTGGAAAAAAGAAATATTTCATCATTCCCATCGTTATTCTTATTCTTATGGTGATCATTATTCCAATAGTTGTAAAATTCGTCGGAGCCAAGAAGAAACCAGTCGTCACTCGTATTTCAACAACAACAACAACAACGACGGTTTCAACAGCAATGACATCAATAACAGGTAAAATATCAAAGATATAAGAGTAAAAATGTTTGATTTGCTTAGGAAATGTGAAAAATTCCATGTGGAAACAAGATGGAGTTACAGTAGCTGGAGGAAATGGACCGGGCGATCGAACTGATCAGTTAAATAGTCCTTTAGGTTTTACAATCGATGATAATTTGACACTTTATATTGTCGAAGAGACAAATAAACGAGTTATCAAGTGGAAATTCAATGCAACGAATGGTGAAGTTATTGTTGGAGGAATCTTTCCCAATGAGAAACTGATGAGATTAGCTCATCCGATTGATGTTGTTATCGATGAAAATGATCTTATTGTTTGTGATTTTGGAAATAGTCTATTAATCAGATTATCTTATGTTAATTTTGATTATGAATTAGGATTTTTGCTCGATTGTCCATGTTTTAGTTTAGCAATTGATCTTCATGGAACGATATTCATTGTTGATGTTGTTGGAAATGCGATTAAACAATGGAAAAAAGGAGAATTTCAAGCAAGAATAATAGCAGGTGGAAATGATCGTGGAAATGGTTTAAATCAGTTGAATGAACCTCAATATTTAGGCGTTGATCGAGATTCTTCACTTTATATCTCAGATACATTTAATAATCGAATTATGAAATGGATTCCAGATGAAAAAGAAGGTGTTATCGTTGCCGGAGAAGGTGCAGAGAATAATCTCACAGATTTAGCTTATCCAGCTGGATTAATCCTTGATGATTTTGATAATATTTATGTAATTGATAGTGGATACGTACGAGTAACACGTTTTGCTTTGAAATCTCGAGAAAAAACCGTTATTGTTGGTGGAAGTCGAGCGGGAAATGCTTCGTATCAATTACACGACCCACAAAAGATTTTATTCGATCGATATGGAAATCTTTATGTTGCTGATTCTTTCAATCATCGAATACAAAAATTCTATCTTAACAATTGACAATACGATATTCGATAAGCATTTGTCTCTGTAAATTTCACTATTTCCGCTAAATGCGTAAGATCACAATGTCGTGTGCTCTTAAAAATAAATCACTCAGCAACAATCTGTCAGTAGCAATTCGAAACTTTTCTAAACGAGTGCAAGCAGAGAATTTATTGAGCTGAGAGAAGAAAGAGAAATTACTAATAAGGTATAACTGTATTTGTTCGACATCGCTGACGAATGTAAAATACAATATCAATTAGAACTGGAGTAATAAATCGCAAGATAATCGTCAATCCTCCATATAAACCCAAAATAGTTGACATCGTATGAATAAGATAATCTTCTTTTTCGATCTGATAAATACATTCATAAGGAAGCGATTGATTATAAAATAATGAATAAGATTTTTGAATAATCCATTGTTCAATAAACAACTCATTGGCAAGCTTTTCAATAATCGCATTTCTATGAAAATGACTTGTATAGTTAATCACTGAAATATTGATTTCCGTGGAATATTCCCATGCAAATGTTTTTATTTTCGAGAAGAATAAATTTAAACAATGTTCGTCGTAGAAACATTGCAGTGTTGAACGTAATACTGTTTCTACAACTGAACATCCAACATACCATCCGGGGAAGAAGAATCGAGGAATGATATTTGACACTGCTTCGAAAATTCCCGCTTGATCTGTACAATCATTTTGTGTTCCACATGAACATCCACTCATCGTGCGAACTGGTTGAACTGAACTGATTCGATATGAACTGTTCGTTTCTCGAAACCAATCCCAATTCAACGAATACGAAGAAATTAAAGCGTTTCCATTGATAATATCACGAAGAAATTTCAAACTCTGAGAAAATTTGATTAACGTATCATTTTGAAATTGTGAAATCGTATTGTTTATTTGAATATCGAAATCCAATTGTGAGATCATATGGGTATTAACAAACGAGGTATCCAAAAATTGTTCTTTCGCATTATCAATAGTTATTTGAGACATTTGACATAGTGTAGAAAGAAAGACAAAATATGCACCACCACGTATGCGAATGTCACGTCGATCATAGTCATACCAATGAAAAGTATTGAATAAATATTCAATCCATCGTCGACGGACAAAGTCACTTGAACAGACCGAATGAAGTTTAGAATTGATTGTGAGAAAAGATTTATATTCAATCGAGATTTTTCTACACGGACATTTGAGTGAATCGGAATATGAGGCGAGTAATTCATTATAATCGTTTTCTGAGGGATTTGAAAAGAATTGAAATTCGCTTCGACTCATAAATATTGTGTAAACGCTGATAAAATAAATGGCAACCGTAAAACCTACTATATACAATCGGGTCGAGATCCGCTGACGATGGACTCTTTCAGGATCATCGGATCCATCATCGAATATGTTTAATGATATCAATTTATTCACTAATCGATGTGTTATATTGTTATTTCTTTGAATGCGAGCATTTTCTAGAACTAATCTCTTGAGAAGCGATGATTTAAAAAATGCGATTAACTTACGTTGATGTTCTTCTTTGCGATGTTTAATCATTGAAATGATTTTCAGAATAATTTTGATAATTAATGGTGAAGTCAATCGAAGAATCGTATTGATTCCGCCGATAATACTAATGACAATAGTCACTATGTAGATAATATTTACTTGTTTTTCGTAAGTAAATGAGCAAGACGATGGTTGACATTTCGAGTAAAATTTGTCAAATGAATACGAAGAATTCCACTCTTCAATCATAATTTCATTAAGAATTATTTCAATTAACGTATCCGGAGAATATCGACTAAGTAACATTTGATCAAGTAGAGTGGTATTCCAAGGAATAGAAATACCCAATGGACGAACAAGTTCTCGTAATTGACTAAAACAACTGTAATTGAACCAACATATTAATGATGATTTCATAACTGTGTTGATTATAGAACAACCTCCGTGTATTCCTGGAATTTGCCAATTGAAATGCTGTACAATATCAAAATTAAGAAGCGCATAATCTAAAGAACATGTTGAATCCATAGCACAATAACATCTGTCATGATTTGCATTTATGGCATACAATGCAAGAACGAACATTCGAATGGATTCAAATGTGTTATTTTTATACCGAGAAACTGCGAGTAGGCGAGTACTTGTTGTTGTACGACTGATATATTGATTACTGTGTAATAAGGTGTTAGTTAAATTGATTCGATAACGAAATTCAATTTTTGTTAATTGTTGAAACGCATTTATTGATGCATTGATTTGTGAATCGAATAAATGGCGCGTTAAAAGCTGAGAATTAATGAAATTTCTTGCTAAAAATCTTTTTCTCGCATCAGCGATTGTTTCATTCGCAATAGAACAGAACGTTTGTAATGTTTGAAAATACGATGAAGATATAGAGAGAAAATCAGTTTGTTCATAATTAGTATTAAAAACTGAAAGACGTTCATACCAAGATGATTGAATGAACTCACTCGAGCATATTTGATGATAACTTACACTGATATTGATGAAATCCTCATACGGAATTGAAATTTGTGTACACGAACATCGTAAGGTTGAAGAATATTGCTTTTCAAGATGAGCATATTTATCCAGAGAAATAGTTGAAACATTCTCAGTTATAATTTGATTCGATAAATCAGAAAATAGGATACAGATGCAAATAGAAATAAATAAGGAAAACAAATGTAATCGTGTAGCAAGTCGACCATAGTAAATATGCGTTGGATTATTTGCATTTGAGTCATAAATATTCAGGCTAACGAGTTGCATCTTGAAAACGACAAAAAGTTTTTTCAAACGAACTCGAATTGTTGCATCTAAAAATATTCAATTGAAAATGACTTTGAAGTTATCGAGTGTAGGATATAGCAGTAGCGAAATGATTGACTCTTCCGATCTTACTTCGATTTTCTCGGACTTGCTTTGGTTTGATCAAAAATAAAACCGTTCGAATGATATAGGGAGTAATTAGACGTATAATAGTATTGATTCCTCCAAAAAGGGCAAACATTATTGTTACAACGGATACCCAATTGAACCGATTAAAATGAAGATAAGTACAAACGTACGGCAAACATTTCGTATAATAGGTCGAGAAGTTTGTGTGATTAAAGAGTTCTTCGATAAATAATTGTTCAACAAGTGATTTTATGGGTGTTTTAAGATGAAAACGACTTGTTAGTAAAGAATTCAATTTGGAAATATTGATTTTCTTTTGATAAGATGAAAGCAAAGTATTTAAACATAATTGATTATAAAAGCATTCTAATGATGAATAAAGAGTTGTTTGAATGGGTAAACAATCAACAACTATTCCGGATAAAGTTGCATTTGCTTCAAGCTGATTTAAATCAAAGATGTCATATGTTTTGTGATAATTTTCATTTAAATAAATATATCCGGGTAAATGACACGAGTCATGAGTTTGACAAGAGCAAACAACAGTGGAGTTTTTTCGTATATATTTATTTTCATGGATATCCGTGCGAAAAATAAGATTTTCTCCGGATAACGATGAGATTATTTTCGATGTTACCATGTAGTTGGTGAATAACGCTGTTATTAGTTGATTTGCTTGTGTCATTTTTTGCGCAAGATTCATCGATTGAAGGAAATTCGATGTAGTTGTTTGATGCAATAAGTGCAAAGTTGTTCGAACTTTTGCTTCTAAAATATGTTTAGTTAATAAGATTGGACTAATCACTGGAGAATGATGAAAAGAGTCGAGCGAATGAATCGTTGTGTGCGTGGCACTTTGACAAAATGATCGAATTAATTGAAACATTGAACTTAAACTTGTTCGAACATCGATCGGAAGGGTCGATTTGACATCGACTTGAAAGATGAAATCGATCCATTTTTGAGAAATGAAATCACTTGAACAGATTTGATGAAATTTGGGCGTTGTTGTAACAAATTCTCCATATGGAATCGAGGCTTTTGTGCATAAACATTGTAAACTGTTCGAATATTTCTTTTCCAGTTTTTGATAAATCGATGCACTTGGAAAAGTGACTGTTTTAATCTCGATTTGGTTGTAAAGAGAAGTATATGTTGTTAAAATAACGAGAGAAATGATAAGAAGAAGAATATACAAACGAGTTGACAAGATTTCACGATGGATTATCACAGGATCTGATGATCGAGAATCAAAAATATTACATCGAATTAGTTTGTAATACAGCCATCGTAAAGTTAATCTTTCAGACATGAGGATATTTCTTCGAAAAGAAGGCCTTTTCCTGTCTTAGTTAGAAACATAAATGATGCCAAATGCTTCAGAAAACTTTCTCTTGATAAAATATTGATACAGAGAATATTGACAAAAGAAAAACACGCATTTGTTCTTTAGTCATCTCTACCTCTGCGTTTCTTTACATGAGCAAATAGATTTGCAAAAGACTATAATATGTGGCATGATACTCCAAGGGTCCTACTGTCTTCAGTAGTCTTAGTTTTGTTACATCACTATGCGATGTATGGGTGGAAAAGTGTCTATTATGTATTGCTATCCAGTCATTAACAATTTTGGCAAGCGTGTTAATAAAAATAATAAATCATCGGGTGCCTCGGCGGAGCATCGAAGTTGTTCGAGATTTGAGAATCTTCCACAGAACGAATTTCTTCTCGTAGACTTGACGAATGAATAACCCAACATTTTAATAAATCGTCAAGTTCTTACTGTATTCATTGAAACTTTTACATAATTGAGTATCATTCAGAAATCAAATAAAGAATGAAGCATCAGTTCTCAACGATGAAAATTGTGAACTGTCGTTCAATAACTGTACGATAGTTTCCGATAAATCGACTCGAAAATTTCTCAGAATGCTTAAATGTTTCAGATTCGCGAAATCACTCATACTTTTCAAGTGTTCAGTGTTGAAAATTCAATTCACGGTAAACGTGTCTAATCATTGTAAGCAAGGCGGGTCAATCTTTGGTGCCCTTGCCATTGACTTCCGCCAGGCTTATATAGATACATTGGACTTGGAATATAAAACGTCCACATGAGTGAGAGAAATTTTTAGGTAATGACATTGAAGTTTGTCAGTTGAATTAACGGGATATTCTGTGTGAAATGCTTCATAGAAATATTGCGACTTCATAGCTTGTAATCACACGTCTCATTTCATACAAAAAATTATTTTCTTGTTCGATGTTTTTTTTCTAAATATTGTGAGATTTCAGAAGGAAACGAATTATTTAAGTCCATCAATAAGAATATCTGCTTCATTCGAAGAGATGCGCATAGATACAGAGTAAAGTAAAAAAAAGGTGTGATTGTCAAAACCTTTAACAATTTTGGAAGTGCAGGACGAATCGAAGACAGTTGGAATTATAAAATTGAGCGTATCCCATATTATAAAAGCATTTGAAAGTGTATAGGATACTGATAATATTTCGATCACTTTGACCAGAGCTGCATATCATATAAAGACATAATGAAACTAAACTACACTCTCAATGTGTGGAAAGTTTATAATTGAATCCTTTTTTTTGTAAGCCCATTTCAAAGAATCATTGACTTCATAATGTTTTCTAAACATACAGTCGAAATTCGAATACGCGCTTTAGAATGAAAATATATGGAAGTCAAGTAGGATGTACTAAATGGATCGTTAAGCGATATTTTATCTCTTCAGGCTATATTTCTTACACTCAATGCACACATTTACTAACATACAAGTACTTTTTGTAACTAGTTTTCGAATGACTTTCCCATTATATTTTACACAGAATATCTATTAATTCAATAAAATGTATAAATCCTTGATATCCTCAGTTTTCTCTCCTATGTGGTTATCATGAAAGTGATGGAACACAACAGTGTAGCATATTTGTACTGAGATGTTCTTAGTCAATTCTGCCGATTTGAGCTAATTGTTGACCGTCTCGGTAGAAGCCACCGTTCTCTAGTTTGTTCTCCTGCATATTGATCAGATATAAGATGGATTCAGCACCAAGTTTAGGATGTCGACCACCGGGTGCATTTTGATTGATGTCCGTAGCACAGAAACCTGGACAAACAGAAAGAACAAGTATGCCTCTAGCACAAGACCACTGTCGTGCTTCAATTCGAGTGAGAGCAATCACTGCTGCTTTTGAAACGCTGTAAATTAAATAAAGTGACTGAGGATTGTAACCGAGTTGTTCAATATTATTCGTTCCAACAGAAGAAATAAAATCTTCGACAAGTTGATTAAGTTGACGGGTAGTTAATGTTGATGATGAATATTGATCTTGAAGGTATGTTGACGCTTCGGATAACACAACAGAACCACAAGCACTAGCAACGTTGATTATACGACCGTTTTTTCGTATTAACGGAAATAAGTATTCATTCAACATCTTGATTCCATAATAATTCACCGAGAACGTTCTTCTAGCCGAATCAACAGTTAGTTCCAGATCTCCACAGGCAGCATTGTTAACCAAAATATCCAATTGTCCACCATATTTATGTTCTATTTCATTTTTAGCTTGTACGATACTTTCTTCTGATGACACATCTAATTGAAGACAATGAACATTTGATGGTAAATCTAATCGAATCAACGCCTCATTGCCTCGTTCAGGATTACGACATCCGAGTAGAACCACATCATTGCTGTTCGATAAACTTTTCACCAGTTCGAAGCCGATACCCTTATTAGAGCCAGTAACTAGAATAACGCGTGGCTGTTGACTTTTCGAAAACATGACCAGAATATTTATCAACGCAGAAAAAAAAGAAAGCCGTTGAGTCAGTGTGTCAATTCGAAGATAAGTCCTACATATAGATCACGCGTGTCGTTAGTAATTATATTGACAAACAACATCCATGGTAAAATTGATTGTAAAATCTCACTCCGAGAAATAGTTCAAAGATACTTTGTGATTGAACGATCCATGTCTTCTTTCTCTACGATTGGCTGTTACTAGAAATCGACTTATGTCTTGGTGTATGTCCTTCATCCAATATTCATCATAAGACTTGAACTTTGTTTTCTAAATAAAAATGATATCAATAAAGACAAAGTTGTTTTTGTCATCGACAAAAAACATCAAATGTATGTATATAGATAGACATATTTCTCACGATCAGTTTGTGTCGACATTCTGTTCGAAAAGAAAATTTCACAAAAAAGTCAACTGTTTATTTGATAACAAAGAAAGATAAGTCATTCTTTCTAGAGCATAGATTTTATACAAAAAATGAGATCCACCTGGTATTAAAAGAACAAAATTTAATAAGGCTTCATCTGAAATATTATAATGAAGAAACGTAAACTATATTCGTCCTCATGTAGATTGATGAAATTCTTTGCTGCAAATAGGCAATATACACAAGAACCATTCGTTGATTCTATACATTTTGACGCGTAATATAGTTGAAACAAAAAACAAATGTTTACGTTATCGATAATTCACATTCGTGATTTAATCGGCATACTCATCCACAGAGAAGTCGATCGAAATACTTCCAAACAGCGAATCTTCGAAAGCCATTAGTTGTTGTAAGAAACCATGGTTGGGAGATATGTGTTTTCGCACCCGAGTCAATAATTCATAAGATTCTCGAAGATTTCGTTCCTTCTTATGTATAAGATATGCTAGAGCAAAGCAAGGAGAACGACTAGCGCCCATTTGACAATGAATAAGACATGCGGAAGTCGGCGTAGCCTAGAATGATGACCAAATCATTTGACAATATCAATTCTCATAAATTCTTCATACTCGATCAATAAAATTGAATATTTCTTCGAATAGAGGTAGAATATCTTCAGAAGAAGAATCTTTTACAGGACGTTGAAGATAAACAAAAGAATCGAGGTACAAATTTGGTAAATCAGTGAGATTTACAATGTATCTAGAAATTTAAATCGGATTATTCGATAGCAGGCGACTATAAAAACGTACTTGACACCAAGTTTAAGAAGTTCATCTTTATTGCGAGTACATAAATAGGATCCCAGAAATAGATGCGGTAAAATCTGCGACGGAGCTTCCCAATTCAACGCCATTCGATTATAAAAGTCATCAGATTTCTTACTTTACTGTCATTGCATCATCTGTATGCAATGGGTCTGAATGGTAAATACATGACGCAGAGATGCACAAATCTATTCATCGAAACATCGATGTTTTAGCGTCATCTACCACACAAGTAACGCCAATAGGAAATCCTAATGTTTTTAAATCGATTTTATTATTATCTGAAATCAGATCCAAATAATCATATCAATTTGAAAGATTTTGTGTGATGTTCAATTAACGATGTGTAAAAATAAGATGATGAAATTTGGTTTTAATTCATCGGAAAACACCTCTCAAGATTAAATCATGTTTTCAATGGTATTCTAAAAAGATTAAAGTTTTGTATTGATGTGCATGGTGACACTTGTGCATAATACATGTAGGACATTTTTCTCTCATCTAAAGAAAAGTTATTCAACTTGAACGAACAATAACGAAGATGCGTTTGAGTTTCTTTTTACTAAATGATTTCCCGAGCACCATGTAGCTAAACATAATTATTTGCTTATTTTCTTTTTATCGTTGAAGTGACTATTATCTGCCGGCTCTTATCATACCTTGTGATGATTGCAAAGTTTTTTTTTCAAATATTACAGTTGATGTGTGAAACAAAGATCTCTTTTTATTGAGTCATAAAACAGTACTATCTGCTCGGTTACTTCTTGTTCTAAACACGTTCGCTACAACTCTTAGTCTTATCCACGAGAACGAGGATTTCCACACAAGATATATGGATCATTAAATCTATTCATATTCATCTTTTAGAAATTACGAATAATTATGAGTGTTGAATTATCAAGCATATTCGGGTCAAGCACACAAGTTTCCACGGGTTTCGCATGTGATAATTGTCGTGATATTATAGACCGCATTCAATGGAAACGGTGCAAGGTATGTCATATGTTTGATTTGTGCCATAATTGTGAAAAAGTACCGTATGAAAAACTACCAAAATATACTCAAGAATATCATGAAAGTTTGCACCGAGCGGATGATGAAGTGAATGCAAATGAGTTGATCAGTGGTGTTTGTATAGATTCGATACGATTCGATCAGGCAACACAAACAAAAGAGAGAGATTTCAGTAAAATGATCAAAGGTAGGTTGGAACGAATATGGCACAATAAAAAAATTAAGAATGATTATCAGCTAAGTCATGTTATCGCTAAATTACGACAAATGGAAAAGGCATCGTCACCGCGATTAGAACTTGAACTATCATCAGATTCCGAAGAACCAACGCGAGCTCAAATTCTGACGCTAATTGGTGAATACTACACGCGAGGATATCAAACAAATATCAGTGTATTAAGTTTAGACGGAGGAGGTAAGAAGATTAGTGTTTTTTAATGTTCATAGATATTTTTTTCCATACAGGGACACGTGGTCATATGTCTATCAAAGTACTATGTGAACTTATAACAGAAACACATCTTGATTCCAGTAAGACGTTCCTGGACGCTCAAAAAGAATTTACGAATGAGTTTGATTACATCGCTGGTACAAGTACAGGTGGGCTGATTGCGTTTTGTTTGGCAATAAAACATGATTTAACTGATATCAAGGAAATATATGAAGATTGTGCAACATATTTCAAACGACAATGGTTTACCTATTTTGGACCGCTCGAACGCGATAAATATGATCCCACTCCTATATACAATAAAATTGATCGAATTATTGATCAAATTCAATTACCAAATGGCAAACAATTAACAGCTGAAACGGCAACTTTACTTGATATACATAATTTATTAAATCAACATTGTCAAGTCGATGATAATCAATCAACATTAGATCGACAGTTTCATAGTAATTCACTTGAATTTGTCGATGAACCCAGTAGTCATTCAGATATCAAACGTGAAAAAGTCTTACTGATTACAGCTTACAATACAACGAAAGATTGCATGACCATATTTAATACAAGTTATGCTGAGCATTGGGGATATCGTATAGCTGATGTGTTAAAAGCCACTATGGCTGCTCCTACTTACTTTCGACCATGTACGATGTACAGAAGAAAACAAGTGAATGGTCATTATGAACGAGATGGTGACGATGAAACATTTATTGATGGTGGCGTATTTGCTAATGATCCCGAAATGGCAGCATTATGGGCAATACGAATGCAATGGAAAAAGCCAGTCAATTATCATTTAGTTTCGATTGGCACCGGCTGTTATAATGCCAAACTATCCGTCGACAATTGGAAGGGCGGTTATAAGTATTGGCTCTTAGATACCAATGGATTGTTAGTGAACGTACTTATGGATGGTCCACGTAGTTTGACTGAGACTGTGATGAACAAGTTAGCGACATTTGACAATATCAAACGAATAAAATTCAATTATCAATTAAAAGAATCTATAGAATTAGACGATCCTGGTTTTGCAACAAAATTTAATAAAGAATGGGAAATACTGAAAACTGGAGATGATTACAAAGTATTAGTTTACTTCTACAAAGAACATATAAAAAAACAGCGGAATTCATCAGAACAGTAATCGCAGGTTCTCCTGACATTCTATAAAATATCAAATGATTTATAGATATTCCACTATTTTTGATTTATATATAATGAGCAAAATACATCTAATACTCGATTGGCTTTTATATTCGAATGATTTATGAACTATTTCGAAATTTTCATATATACAAAGATAGAGATAAGAACAAAAAAACTAACTCATTATGTAGTGTTGCATTTCATATACCCACATAAACAATTTCATTGAACTTCATAAATTCTTTCGAGAACTGTAGTCATTATATTGTGATTGCGACTGTGAAAAGAAACCAGCTGGTGTCTTTTTGAGAGAATAACACAACAGTGATTCGATGGATGTACTTCAAATTCTAAGAAAAGTTTCCGCGTCACATGACCATTAGCGCTTACAAGTTTCACAAGAAAACTATCGAGTGACGGAAAATGACTTAACTTATCGATGCGTGGTCTTTATGACTAAAATTAAAAAATATCCCGAAACAACAACTTTCGAGCAAATGAATTCATCTCTTGAATAAAGAATGATAATATGGTTATTTCCAATCCCATGAAGAACTATAAGGATTTAATAATGTGTCTAATAAAACGTAGGATAAAGTGAGATACTCAACTCTTTTTTAGATAAAAAAAAGTCAGATACAACAACAGATCACACTCTTCATAAATCTCTCTGTATCGAAACAATCAACCCAAGGAGACAAGCATAGGTGGGTCGATGTTATGGCCATTGCCATACCTGAAAAACCACATTGGCCCGCCACTGGAGGCAAGAATCGCCAAAACACATGTGTAAGCGTACTTTTAGCCAGCAAAACGCGTGTAAACACGTAAAAATAAACACAAATAGGGACCAGATTTTCTACAGATGAGAATTCTGCTTAGCAATACTGTTAGTATCTCGTGCACAAATAATGCGGTCCCCATTTGTGTTCATTTTTACGCCTTTTCTAGCTAAAATGGCGTTTTCACGCGTGTTTGGTAATTCTTGTCTGCACCGGTAATCTGTTTTGTTTTATTTTCACGTAGAGATGCTCAACAATATGTCATCCGAAGTGAAAAAGATCTTTCTCATCTCTTCTGACGTGATATTCTGTGATGGAAGTAAAGAAAGAACTTGATGAAACTAACTGAATCGTTCATTTTGGGATCACAGGTGTTTTTTGACAAACTGAAGAACAGAAGAATAAAATATTCGATAGAAAAAAGATCTTTTTTTGTCAAATACTATATCAATTTCAAAATCGCTGAAATCAGATTCGATATTTAATCTGTGAATAGCGGAAAGAAAAACTTTCTTTTCATTTCATTGTTCCATAGAATTTTTCAACAACGAACTTGGCTACTTTATATTTTCATTTGATGAAATACGATTCGAAGGAGAATTTTGAAGAGTTTCGGAAAAGAGAAGTCATTTTTCAGCTACTACCTTCTACCTCACACATCGCTACCGACATACGTGTAACACGTTACGAACTATCGTATACTGTAGTCCATGGGGCAAAAACTTATCAGAAAACATCGGACATGGTTATCGAGAAAGGCATGCTATTTTCAATAGCGTGGAATTACATTAAATAAATGCGAATGCAGAGTGAGAGATAAACTGACTGTGCAATGTATTGAGGTTCTTGTAGCTCTATCGTGTTTCACATTTTTATCCTGTTAGGATTTTCGCTGAACGCTTTTCTATCTGAAAACGACAAAAATACGTCGAATATGTATTTTTATGAGTCAAGACCTTCTGTTTGATGCAAGAGATACCGCAGTAAAAAAGATGGCTAGAGCTCAGAATGTATGTCTTTCCTATGGCGACATCCACAATCACAAAACTTACTTTTCTTTTATTTGACAGGTTATCCACTCTGTCTATTATCCAGTATAGTTCCAGATACTTTCCATTTCACACCTATATCAAACAAGTTTCTAATAAGATGGATCAGCGTCAGGATTTATTTTCACAATACGTTTAGAAAACGAATACAATATCGAAAAAACGGTTCGGTAGTGGCTAAAGAGAAAGACACTCGTCTATATGTATGACATCAGCTTCGAACACATCGTAAATGCAAGCATTTGTTAATCACTGACTTTGCAGATTGTCGAAACGTTTTTCGAAATAAACTACTGCAAGCATAATTGAAGTAAAACACCATTCCATATTTTGCATAATACAATAGAAGGCCTATTTGTGTAATAAAATTTTCGATTTGTTTCTGTTCCACACTTTTCTCCGCCGAATTAGTGATCAAATTATATGTAGCGACAATGTCACGTTGCACTTCGAGTATTATAGACATAGAAGCATGTACGAATATGAGAATGAGTAGTTGTCGGTTCATTCGATGAGTTGCATGTGTTTGTCGAATCACACCGATACCTATGTCGACACGGTTCCTCCATCGTCGCGTATGAATCCAAGTCATAACACCACAAATCAGCATACCTCCATGCGGGATGAAAGAAACAAAAAGAAGAGCATAACTGACAACAGCAATTGTTGCAAAACCGGACATTGTTGTACATATACCATCAAACACATCATAAGCAATTAAACATACTCCGCTCGAAATCAAAAGAAAGAGCATAGTCAGGACGGAAATACGTCGCGCGAAAGAAATAGAACTCAACCGGCGCCAATTCACATTTCGTGACGTCGATAAACATCGATCGAATGTTGATAAGAAAACACATGTCGAAGCCATGGCTGCTAAGCATATCGCAAAGTAACTACGTGCTTTACATGCAGCACGATTCATCTGTAGCCTATTGCCTGAAAAATAGTCGATCATTAAACTAAATACAAGATAAATGTTAATGAAAAGCAAGTCGAATACGGATGAACAAATCACGAAAAATATACAAGATTTCGTTCGAAAATCTTTAGATAAGAATGTGACAAGATTGAGCAGATTTCCGGTTGTTGCTAATATTAATATGAGAAGAGTACAAATAGAGACCATATAAGATGTGATCTCTGCTAACAATACCATCTTGACTGAAGATGTGATAAATAATGTACTTTTCGTGAAGATAAGAAATACTGGTCTCTGACTATTTAGGCTAAAAAATGTTTGCTTTTCTATTATAGTGCACAGTCTATAAAACACAACACTCGCTGATATTTTTCTTTTCACATAGATGGATAGGAAGAGAGAGAAATGTGAAACGATAACCGATGAGTATGACGCCTTCGAGATGAGAATAATTTTAGAGATTGCACTTATTTGGTATAATTTTTATTTGAGCATGATGTCGTCCGTCTATTTATTCTAAACCTTTCGACTGTAAAACAAATTAATGCATTCATTTCAATATTTCTTTTGTGAGAGTCAATTATGAAGAGCACATACGCTGTATAGTGCTGGCATGTTTGATATTGTCTACTAAGAAATATCTGACATGATTCTGCAAAAAACAGAAAACATATATTTGAAAGTGCGATCTTCTTCGAAGCTGAGTTTGTTGTTGGTTGTGATAAAAACATTTTCATCATGTATTGGTGCATCTGTATTTTTTGCGGATCCAAAAAAGTTGGTCTGTCTTATCTATGTATATCACAAAACAATTTATTCATATATTTTTTTAGAATTTCATTAGAAGAATTCGAATAATTCAGAAAAATAAACATTTTTCATATGACGCCTCCTCAATATGAACACGTCAGAGCGCGATCAGCCATTGTATTGAGTACTGCATTATGGTTTTTGTTGAACGAGACGCTATGAACGTACTACCCACAAAAATGTACTGGAATCTCCATCATTGTCGTCGCATCCCATGATGCTCCGAAAGCCATTTGTGTTTCATAAGCGCAGTGCGAATGTCAGCTATTTCAAATATTTCTTTGTTTTCTTCTTCCATAGAAACTATAAATTTCTAGAAACAACCGAATAACGATGAGTGCGTATTCGAGACTTCTACTCTGAAAATAATCAATTTCATCGCATATCTCAGTTACCCTCGCAAAAATAGGAGTGCACAAATTCGTCGTCGGTTATGAGTAACATTATAATTTAATTAAACTGATCAATGATAATAAAATCGTGCATCATATAGGAATTAGAGAACAGTGTTGATTAGCAACACTTTTCTTCGTATTAGCTATTTGAACGATAACGTCAGCGATGTGCACCTAAGAGAGAAATTATATCGATAAAAACAAGATCTCTCCACCCTTCTTATTTCTCTACCACATAATTTACGACTTGTTTCGAACATGAAGGTTCATGGTAAAACCCTGAATCAAACAAAATGATTACCATCAAAGTAGAGGTATAAACGATGGAACATACCTCCACTCTATGTACGAAAACCGTTTCCACCCGCATTTATTTCCGACCAAACTGTAAATTTTTGAATCCAAAGTAGTATTTTGTCTTCGTCAGCATTTTCTATTCGCTTGATAGTGTCAAACTTGAACTTGCAAATATTCATAACTTTTCTCATGAAAATATGAACTTACCGTCGCGAATGATTTACATGTATTCAGTTTACATATGACCAGTGGCTTTGAATAGTCTGTCTTACGGCAAACGCCACTTATATTCTTTATACAATCAAACACTTGTTCAATACTACCTTAAATAAGCTCACGTGTCTGATTCGCATGGAGACTTTCAACCAGTTCTATACGCAAAAAAATCAGTGAATCCTTTTCGTTTACTTTTCTTCATCTGGCTTTACCTGTACTAACAACAGCAGTAACGATTGTTTTGGGAAATTCGAGACGATTTCGTCGAGCAAGTACAATTGCCTATAAAAGGCTATGTCATCCATTGATAGAAGTACACGAATAACAGTTACTTCAAAACGTCGATCTAATAAATCATTGATCGCCATTGTAAATGTTCCATTAGGATTTTCTTTTTGATACGAGTATATTTACTTGACATTTACAATGAATATATCTCGACGTTTAATTTATTCTGCGACTATTGCGTATTGCTTATTATAATCACGTTTGAATTTCTCCCATTCGGATGTGAAATCAGCTCCGATTATATTGAGTAGCAAAAAGAAAAGTATAAGCTAAAACGGAACATAGAATATGCATTAGAACACTGTGAAGAGATGAAATTTCACCTTCATTAACATAGTTTATGATTCGATTTGTCTTTCTGTCTGATAGAAGCTTTCTATAGATAATATAACATATTAAAAGGACATATCTATGTGCATAATATCAATGTTATCATTGTCAAATGATCGTACTGACAAAAATGTGTTATCATAGTGAGATAGAATCGCAAAGAATTTATAAACTGTAGAATACTTGATACAAACGAGAAGGACTAGAAACAGTTCATCTCACTGGTCCAATGGCAGCATACGTTGTATTTGGGATATGCCTCGTCGCAGTTCGGAAAAATTCGTTTTTCAACAATACGGGTACTATTTTGTTTGAGAATAAAGACTCAAGTTACTAAGATCTGATCATTCTTTTATTATTCAAAGGAAAGATGACGTAAAACTCTTCAGAGGATTTAGTTCATAATTAGCCACAAACGGTGAAGGATATACTACGCTTTTTCCGGTTCCTCATCTGAATAAATCAAAACCGTTCTTGTCAGTGTCATACGACTTCATTACTTTTCTCATTTGAATTAATTTTGATTCTCATCACGACTAAAGTCTCACCTGTGTGGACAAGAGATTATTCGCTCAGTGAGAGAAGCGATGAGAGAATTTAACAGCGAGTTCTGTAAATTGAATTTTTGTGGCATCGTTGAACCTGTCAAATTCCAGTTTATTATTTCACTTTCATCCTCGTCAAAAAAAGTGGAAATAAATCTGATGATGAAATAAGCAATTTTTCTTGATTGCTAATAGTAGAAGTGATGTTTCGTCTTCATGAACAAATTTCGCTGTATTTTGAGGATGGAAAAATTGCACCAGAGCAGTATTCTGACCCACCAAAAGTACTACTGGTTTTATATTGATGGAAAACGTTTTCTAATGAGATGTCACTCTACCTAACTGTTTCATTGTGATAATACTAAGTTTACTCTGAAGAAAGAACTCTTATTAACAGAACGCTAGTCTGTCATCTCCAGCGTATTACCTGTTCTTTTTTAATAGCGCAAAAGAATCAAAGAAGATTAGTTTAAAGTAGATTTTTATCCTCAGTGAAGTTCTTTACTTATGAACGACACATTTCGCGGTTCACACTTCAAATGTAATACTTTGTTCTTATATATAATCTTCTATTTCAGATTAGAATTAGCATTTCAATTTTCACAGACAATATGTCCACAGTTGGTGACATTCTCTCACTTGTACAGCAAAATACAATTCGTTATGGATATCCGTTTTTACTCGTCCTAGGCAATATCGGCAACGTGTTGTGCATAGTTGTGTTTCTGCAAAAAAACTATCGACAATCGTTTAGCTCATGGTATTTGCTTACTGCCGCCGTATTTAGTATTGTGGGTGTTAGCTGGGGAATCGGCACCAATATGTATGCTGTCTACCAGCCACCGGATCCGTTCATTATGTCAGATGCTCTCTGTCGCATTCGAGGATACCTCCTTCAAACTTCGTCGGTTCTCACTCGAACAATGATTATCTTAGCATGTGCAGGTCGCGTGGCAGCAAGTTCCAATCAAGTGCGTATCCGTCAACTCAATCAACCAAGAGTCATAGTAAAAATAATTGCTGCTACAACTCTTTTTTGGATGATTATTTCGATTCAACTGCCTATTTTTCAGCGCATTGAGATGAATCGATGTGCTACATTCGGAGTGTTTGGGCTTTGGTTTAGTGCATATCAGATCTTTCTGTTTGGACTCGTTTTCCCTAGTCTGATGATCATTCTCAGCATTCTCATCTTGAAGAATCTGAAAAATATTCGTGGTTCTGTTCGACCTCAGGAACAAGCCGACAACACGCAACGTCATCAGCTGTTAAGCCGGCGTGATATGAATCTACTAAAACTTACATTTGCTGAAGTTATATCGTGCTTTGTTCTTAGCTTTTTATATCCAATCAATGCCTTATATGGTGTAATTGCAAGCAATGTGCCAAACAAGAGTAAAGAACGTATTCAGATTGAAGGATTCATGACTTTCTTCGCACAAGTTTTCTTGCTGTATTTGAATTACTGCATTACATTCTATTTATACGTGATCATATCCAAGCCGTTTCGTCAAGAGATCAAACGAGTTATCTTCAGAGTTTTAAAGCGTCCAGAACGTAACGACAATACCACAATACCTCTAAGATCTATTCAAAAACAAAGAACGGACCTAACACAACCCTGAAATAACTTTTATGAGCATATTTACCCATCCACCCTTTACATTTTAACGAGAATAAAATTGAGAAAGGCACACATATTCTACCATGCCGTTCAAATGGATTATTACAAAGAAAATCTGGTCGTATCAAAAAATCCATGCAAATGAACGCTTTGAAGATCTTCAACTAACGTAACATAAAATAGTTTTGATTTCTGAATGTATCCCATGCTAAAAATTGACGATAGAACTGATTACAATTACCTACCAACATTATTCATCATACTGTAAAATAGCGGGAGAATGTGCTGGAAATCTCATTAGGCATCTTGACATTTTTGAAAGAAACATGTAGCCTTATTGAGGGTGTGATTATAGATTGCACAAGTCAATGTTCGGTTGCACTCAACCTCAGAATAACTTCTAGTTATAGAGTCGATTAATACAGAAGTATAACAATGGCTACGAGTGATGCACATTCATTACAGAGAACAATACGTGCCGCGATTCGAAGTTTATATCCTTCACCAACAAGAGAAGGATCGATTGTAGTACCGACAATCACAGGTGGAAACAGCAAATCATTGGCATTATACCCAATAAATGTGCGTCAAATATATCATTCGTCGCTAGTCCTTGCAGTCTCCGCGATTGATCAAAATATCCCAGGAGAGTATCCTGATGGACCGCTCGGGATTGACATAACTTGCCTGAATCCCGAATTTGATCATGTTTTCAAGAGTATGCGGGATATTGGCGTATGGTATTTCGTAGAGGTAATTACCCGTGTGCGGGCCATGCGGATCGAATCGAATTGCATTGAAAGTGAAAGGCAAATTTGGTATATAGAATAAGCGGCCTGTTTCTTACCATGGTACAGAAGAGCACAATGCGTTGGACATCGTTGAAGAAGATTATAAGCTGAGTAAACACAAACGATTTCTGCATGGTAAAGGGATTTATTCATCTCCAGCACCGAAATTCAGAATCGCGTCAATCCCAAGTATTTAAAAGTGATCCCAAAGAAGGAGACTGTTGTAGGCATCTACTGGTTAACTGCAGCGGATGAAGATGAAGATATATAAAGAAGTGAATTCATTCGACCTTATGGTTTGTGCTTATTCAAGTAAGATAAAAGCCCATTAATTTATTTTTCAAATACTAAATGACTTTCACATAACTAAGATGATGCGTGACGATAAAGATAAAAGGCATTCTCACATTATCCTTGGATTGAATAAATTTACACCAATGGCATAAAAACAACTTTTACATGTCAATTACCTTGATTATGCTTTCAAAACGAGGAAATCAGCGTTCTGCGCACCGAAACTTAAGTAGTATTTATTAAGTAGTTCTAAACATGCATCTGGTAAACATTCCACACTTCTATTGCATGTGTAGAAAAAAAAACGACGGTAATTATAGAGATAAAGAAAGGCTTTGACATGCAAATGAGCTTTCATATCTTCCGTTTTTTCATTTATGAAAGTTAATGATTAACGAAAGGTAGAGATCATCGTCGGTTCAACTATGAATGTATCTAACGCGAGTACCTACGCATTGACATTATCAAAAATTATTGGAATAGTTCCATTATACATCAATTTCATCACAACCATCGCTGGTACCATCGGTGGAGTTTGTAATTTGATAACATTTACCGCTCCTCGGTTACGTACGAACTCGTCGGTGTATTACTTATCATGTGCAACAGTTTTTGAAATCCTCTCAATCTTATTTATTGTCCCGACACGGATCGCTTTGGATAATTTCGGAAATACTCTAGAGCGTCAATCGATGGTGTTCTGTAAGATTCGTTATTATATATCGATCACATTTCCAATGCTGGTTACGTATTATATTCTATTCGCGATAGTTGATCGAAGCCTAGCTACGTCGCGGCACGTGGAGATACGTGCAATGAGTCGATTGACATTCGCACATCGAATATCTTGGATCATTTTTCTGATTGGAACAACTGCGTCTGTACATGTTTTTATATTTTTTAATACGATTAACAATAATTGTCAAGCTCCACCTGGCAATGTGTATACAATCGTTTTCGCCATTTATTTGATCTTTATCGTATCCATTTTACCTCATTCGTTGATGTTCATTTTTGCTTTGATTACTTTCCGAAATTTTAAACGAACAAGACAACGAGCAATGCCAGTCTTAGCTTCAGCATATAACTCGCGAACGAAACGTTCGGAAAGTCAATTAATCATGGTGATTATCGCACAAATTCTTATCAGTTCTACACTTGTTTTGCTACGTTTGGGCTCTTATACCTATTCGACATTGACCAGTGGAAATCAGAATAAAACAGTTGGCCAACGAGCGGTGGAAGATTTCTGCATTCGACTTGGCTTTGCATTGTACTATTTTAGTTTCGCGACCTCGTTTTATTTATCAACTTTACCAAGGAAATTTTTTCGCGAAATTTTTTTTAAACGAGTACGAAAATTGTTCTATCGTTTTCTACGATCATTTTTTGTTGAATAAACACGACTTCATGTCTACAACGATCTTGAGCGAGCGATAATAAGTTTCATTTTTTTCGGACGATACAATCAATTTTAACTTCTTTTCACGAAAGTTCGTCTAACAATGGACCACTCTGCTTCAAAATAATTCACATATCTCGTCGGCACGCGAAAATTGCACTGTGTTAGTGATAAATACATAGATATTCGATATCATCCTTGGGTTTCTATTTATATCAAATAAGCATTGAAAGAAAACCTTTGCCAGAGAGAGAGAGATAAAAAAAAGTGTGACAAAAAGATGAAAGGAACTGAGATACGAAAGTGTTGCTGCATTGTATAGTTATCTTTCCTATTTGTTTTTGGCGACAACAAAAAAAAGAGAAAACTATCGTTTTTTCACCTTCAACCAATGAAAAACCATGGTCAGATCAACTTCGACTTGCTAACTCGTGCAAAATGGTCTAGATTTTTATTGCCGACGCGAGTGGTATAAAAAGGTTGAAATTTGCACGCATTTTCCTATTTTCATCAAACATTGTAAAACAGCGATCAACAGGTAGGTGACTAGCTAATGACTGTGGATCTGGACGAGAATTCTTCCTACGATGAACGCCTACACCCATCTGTGTTCGACTCTTTCATTTAATTGCTTTCTATTATTTATAGGAAAGCTCTCTTCGTCACTTATCAGGCGACAGGACGATTAACATGGACGACAAGTCGAACAACGACGCTGCAACTGAAAATGATCAGTCAGGAGAAAGTAAGAGTCAACAAAGTGTTCGAAATAGTTTCTAGGAGCATATTGACCTACATTGAAATATTTCGATGGCGGTACTTTCAACTATGCATTTCAAGTCCATATAGAATAATCTTGCCGTGTTCGATTGCATTCAATTCTATAAGAACACGTTCATCTTATTAGCAGAGATCTGCTTAAGTACACCGCAAGGAGAGATTAAAAATAGATATGAACTGTGAAGATTTTGTGAATCAAAAAAACAAAACATTCACAATTATCATGAATCTAATTGCTGTCGCCTTCATATTTCTTCATCGATTCTTTCTTGGTTATTTCTAGAATTTTCAGAATACGAAAAACGCGACTTAGTGGAACGATTGCATTTAGCCAGCAAGCTCGAGCACTGCTTATTGAATGCTTATATCTACACAGCTTGCACGATTAAAAGCACTCCAGAAGAATTCGTCGATGCTGATCAAGAAAACAAGCGTTATGCTATTCAATTCGAACGAGCACGTGAATGGAAAAAAAGTATTTTTATGGTCGCACACGAAGAAATGCTTCATCTTCATTACGTTCAATGTCTGCTGCGAGCACTGGGTGAAAAACCGTACTTTCAGTTACCAGACAAAAAACCTGGTACAAACGTTTGGTTCATTCCAAATTGGGATATTAAAAATGGAAAGTTATCGATGAATAACGGCGATGGTACAATAATTCCGATTGAATCATGTACATTTGAAAATGCTCAACGGTTCGTTCTTTATGAATCAAGTGATTCTCTTCAGGATATGGGTGCTATAAGCGAAAAAGCTAAAGAATTATATGGGAAATTATTCGATTTTGAAATTCGTTTGCGAATCGAACAAATGTTAATTCACATTAAAGACAAGGATGTTCACGATGATCTGGCCAAAAAGTTATACAATGTCTACACGCAGCTTCCAGTATCGGACAAGCCACAAACACCGTTTATTCCAATGACGGTCATTGCACCACTTAAACCCGAAAGCTTTCAATTTCAATCTATCGGAGATTTCTATCACCACGAAATACAGCCTTTATACGATATGGCATTCGATAAACAATGGACTCGACAAACTAATTTTGATCTTGTGGCTGAACAAAAAGATCCAAATGTTGCTGCTGAAGGGTTTTTACCACTGACGCCTAATTATCGATACAAGAATTTTCCGGACATGAGCAAAGGTGGAATGAAAAGCCATTGTAATAAAAAGAAGTCGGCACACTGTGAATATGATATACCGGGATGGTTTAAAAACAAGGAAGATGTGCACAAAATTATAAACGAAATAGTCGATGAAGGTGAAGGATTCGACCAATTTTATGAAAGAGCCGAGCAACTGCTGAATTATGTCGCAAAAATAGGTGGTGCTGGTGCATATTTACAACAAATAATTCAGGATCAAGATAAAACAAATCCATCAAAAACACCAGAAGAACTGAAAGATGGTCAGCTAGTCAGAGAATCACATTTGTACCGTTTTGCTATAATCATGACGGCTTTCCAACAAGAAAAAGATTTTGCCGCGCGTGCCGGTATATCGTATGAAGTTAAACGAACGCCAGTAAATATCGACGGAAACACCCAGTTGGACAATCTTTGTCAGGAATTACCGGGTTATTTCAATGCGTGCTTTGTTCCCATGATCATGTGGCTTTCAAGAATGTACGAAATAAAGGATTGGTCAGCTGATAAACCACGACGACAGGCTATTGAAATGCTTGCCGCATGGCCAATCATGTCACTTGGTATACGTCCGTTTTTGGAATTAGCTTCGTTCTTCAAAATCGACCAATCGAAATTATTTTCACTTGCCGATGTCGATTTACCTTCTTCGTTGACAGATGCTTTGGAGCTACTGAAGCTGTACAATAATGACGATCGATCAGAAGAAATCTATACACAAATGGATGATTTGGCATTAAACACATTGGAAGCTGTAGGCGCATGGGCAGAAAATAGCCGTGAATTCGTAAAAACTTTACAAATTCCTGAACATACAAAAACAATGATTCTTACTCGTCTAACTGGTCTTATTGTCCTTAAAGAATTTAAACTACAATTCGAATTTCGAATGCATGGTGGCTATTCAAACAAATCGCCTGATGCCAACTATGAACTACGTTATTGCGATAGCCATACCTACGAAGAAGATCCAAACTTAGGAGATGACAGTGGACAAACTAAAATCTATAATGACGCGTTGTTATTACGTCTACGTTTTTCAGGATGGGGACAAGTACAATTGGCTACTGATCCAGATCCTCCTACTGACGAAAGTGGCTGTTCCGGTACACATATGCTACATGCAACAGATGGAAAGAGCGTCTTCAATCGTGCTCTTGTATGGCAGAAACATAATGGTTCCAATGAAATTATTCGCGAACCAGCCAAAGATTTACCTACAGTTGGGGTCAATTGTATCGATGTCTCTCTGATGGCTTCTGGTACAAATATGACTGTAGGCTACGTACCATTATCAGAAATGCAATCGTTGGGTGCTGTACAAGCCAGTGGCACACAGTTCGACCTTGACATCAGTGGAGTGCATGAACTTTTGCGTTGTACGCCGAAAGATATTTTACAACAGCCCGACAAACAGATACGCATCGATTTATTGGATAAAGATGGAAAGAAACCATTGTTACTGGGAGAGAACCATTTAGTTTGGAAGGATGGCGAACCGATTGATCCGTTTATTCTATCTGTTGGATGTGATACAGCTGATCAAACCACAGCGGTAGAATTTGAACGAGAAGTTTTCAATGATACAAACGTATCAATGCTTCGAATGACACCATTAGAACGTTTATTTAGTCAACGAGGACCAGTGGGCTTTGATTCCACAGCAAACATACCAACATGGGCCAAATGCAATTTTTTGAAAGATCCAGAAAAATCAATGGTGGCAAACGATTATTTAGAAGATCGAGCAAAACATCTGTGTGATGCAATGAAAGTCAAGCTCGACAAAACATTAGATCAACTGACTGTAAAAGATGCAACCGAAATTATTTCATATGCAGAACGTATGAATTTAGTCTCTTTTCCGCGTCCCACCACAAAAGCATGGCTCAACGCAACTCTTCACTACGGCCATACAATCAGTGGAACCTTAAAACTTGGTGGAAATAGTTTAATACTGAAAACGATCCAAGAGAAAACTGGTCTGTCTTGTTCTCTTGTCGACGATCCAAATCGAAAGACGAGTAATTCTCGTTGGCTCGCCAAATACACTTTAGGTGCTATGGATACGGACGCTTTGTCCAATTTTATTTTTGGTGAACTATATATGCCACTAAAAGTTACCAAATCAGACAAGGAAATTCAATTCGTCAAAACATGGGTCTATACTAATAGTTTATTTCAAACAATTGCTGAATTTGCTTGTCGTTTCGATAAACCTTTCTGGAACAGTGACTATCAAATAGTCGACAACCAGACACGTACGTTAATAGTTGAAGATGGCAACGATAAAATAAATCTAACCGAAACATGTACCAATGCGAATGGTGCCGGTTACGAATACACACAAGACGGCTTTAAAGGTGTTCAAAATTGTCGTCAATATTCTAGAGTCGAAGACTATTTGAAAGATAAAATGAAATTATCATGGGGTATCACATTCAAGATTGAAAACATCGACGCACTTATGCAAATGGTGAACTTTTTTAACAATCAAACCGATGCGATCAATCACGAGCTTCAGAAATATTTTACACCTGCTGTTATTGATCAATAGAAGAACAGCGTTTTAAAATTTTCTATTTTTAATATTCATTGATTCTTTCTACTTATATAACGAAAATATATTAGTTAGTTAGTTTGTAAAGCAGTTATATTAAGTTGGAAACGCATCTTTTTATTCGTGCACTCACACGCTCAAGAAGCGAAAAAACCATAGAGAATTACAAAAAAGAAAATCTTTTCGAATTAATTCGGAGCAAATGCAAATGCATTCAAGTAGGACTTTACTCGTATATTTGCTATTACTTTTGCGTTATCGCTCAAATCAAAGGTGACAATATTCTGATCGTCGAAGCCTTTAACAATCATTGTAAAATAATATCCGTTATAACAATCACCACTCGATGGTAAATAATCATCAAAATATTTCGATATAACATCCATAGAACCATTATATGGATTCAAGCGTACTAAACTGCAACCACGTTCTCTCTGAGCCTTTTGCATACCATAAAAAGCATCCGTTTTATTATCATAACATAGATATGATGGTAAATTTGTATTTGTGACATTACTAATAATTTTTTGTTTTGGCACATCAATACCAACAATATAAACATCTTCAAAGAGAACTGCTCCAAAATATTGATGAACTGATGCATTAAAAAATACAGCCATACAATCAGCTCGTATACCGTCAGCTCCGGTTATATTAACCCATCGTTTAGCTATAAATTCCCTTGTGTCGATCTGAACGATACTTATTGGATTTTCTGGTGAGTCATCTATTTGTACTGAATATAACATTTCTGTGCTGCTATCAACGCTCAAATTAAATATATCAGCATCAGGTTCTAATGTAATTGGTCGATACTTTTGCGTACCATTTAACGGGTTAATCACCATCACTGATAGCTCCGCTTCATTTTCTGATGATGCTTGACTACCGAAAACGTATAAAACTTTATGAATAAAATCATATGTAACATCATATGCTTTGTAGCTGGTCAAAGGTGTAAGCACCGCAAATTTTCCATCTAATGGATTAATTTTGAATATTGCATTCGAGCCCGATACAGGATTATATGATGCTCCTAATAAATAGCCATTCGGAAGTGTTTGTATACAATTGATGATATTCAAGATGATGTAAAACTTTAGTAGTAAAAAGCGATAAACATTACTCATTATGATTCGAAACTTGCCGGAGAAGCTTGAATCTAGTAAATATAATGGACTAGAAATGAAAAAGCACAATGTGATGATGTTGTGTTTACTAACTGATAACAATAAAATGAATATGCTGTATACGAAGAGAGATAGAGAGAAAGAAAGAAACAACTTACTTGATATTTATCATGTTTGTGAAAGAATTTCAGCATTAAGATTAAATTCAGCTACTCACACATTTTGAATCCGAAGTACTGCAGAAGCGTGGAGGAATCAAGACAGTTTTTCCACGTTAAAATTCTTTTTATACTTAAATTATGTCATTGATAAGTTTAATGAATAAGATTTTTACAATTATATTCTATTTAACTTTTCTTATTTTCTATCTCTTCAATTGATTGAATCCGTAGTTGTAGATTGTATTTTTCGGCGTTGGGTGTTACTTATGGCAACATAACTAACAACATGATGAAAGCAAACAGAAAGGGATCACATACACCCACCCCTCACCCTCACAGATAAATTAACACAATCGTCTGCTACCGTATAAAGTATAATTTCTCAAAAACGAGGAGAAAAATTCAATCACAGAAGATGACTTTAATTAGCTCTCGTCAAACTTTACACTTCTAATATCTCTAGACATTGTTCTGTCTCATTCTTCGATAGTATAATTTTCCTTACATGCGCATCCACACAAGACATCTTTCAATTACTCCTTTAACAAGACCAAAGTCACGATTGCAATGGCTTTCTGATTCATCGCACCTATTCTAGTCCTCATCCTCGAGAACAGAAGACTCGGGTCTTTTAATATGTCTATGGGTATGAAAATAATTTTGAGTATCCCATTAGACTTGCTAACCACGTATACGTAATTTGATTTATGTATATAGAAAATGCGTATACTTTAATTCAATCAGTCACAGTAATGTCAATTCAAAGCTTCCCAATGAATTATTTATGCAAGAGATACATGTGGCTCAATTCAACAAAGTTGAATGAAGAGACATCTACCTCTAAATCATCTTTTTCTTTTGGCGTTTTCATTCAGTAACACTCAGCTGGTGTATATCTCAATTAAAAGTCAAGGCAAATACATGGTCATCTCTGCTCATTCTTTCAAGATTGCGCGTCACAAATCTACCATTGATCATACGCTCAATGTCTCCCATTCAGTCGTACGTCGAATGGCCACTGCCTTAGCGATCTCAAGCGTGTGAGTTTTTTGAAACCTGAAAGATATGTTGATTGTGTCAATGTTTCATTTTTGCCGCATGTAAGTCATGCGTCATAAATGCATTAACGCTCTAAAGTTTTCATTTGAATTAATTTTCTTTTCTTCATATTTTCTAAATAAGCTTTTGACGCACGAGAAAAAGCTGTTGCTTTACTGAACTATAGGCGCATTTTAGAGTGTAACCGTTTAAGATTTTGTTCAAATCTGTTTTCTAAATGGCCGTGGATATTCAAACATCTATCAAAGCTACTCTTATAATTGGTGTATTTTGTCTAATCGCACTTCTATCGTTAATATATTCATTATTAATTTTACTGATTCCACGATTTCATTCAATAAATAATATCTTCATTGTCAATCTGTGTGTTAGCGCTCTATACACTTCAATTTATTATATAGTCTTCTACGTATCATACTATCTTACTGCTCGTGATATTTTTACTCCCAATGGGTGTGTTATGTTATTCTACGCACATAATGTGGCCAGTATTATTATTCCATTTTCTTTTGTCACATTTTCTGTTCATCGGTTTTGTTCTATTAGACATTATAATCAACCTTTATTTAAAACAAAAAAATGGGTTGCAACGTGCATTGCAACACATTGGATCGGGGTTTTGATTATTTCATTACCATTTGTTTTTCAAAAAACAGATGTAAGTTGGAAGAAAACAATCCGCTTGTGGAAACTAACACTTTTTATTGATAGGTTTGTGTTGATGTTTTATGGTTACGAATTTATACATTAATAACAGCTGTAATTGCTCCATCAATTCTGAATATTACCTTGAATATTCTCATCTTTCATCATGCTCGATCTTCTTCGCTTCGTGTTCTACCCGAATTAACAAGTAACAATCAAATACTGAATTTAAGTCGGCGGGATATTTCTTTGTTACGACAAATGGCCTTCATGTTTATTACATTCATTGGTGGATGGAGTGGTATTTATATAAGCGTGCTTGTCAGTTATTTCATTAGTTTGAACCAGTGGATTCGACCAGCTATGTCCATCTTTGGTGAATTATGTATAGTTGGTATAATTATAAATTTGTTTATTAGTAATCGAGATGTGAAGAACTATATATGGACAGGATTCAGAAATTTATTTAGTGCAGAATAAACATATTATGCTATTTAGTTCTTTTTGAAAATGTCAATTAGAGCGTTTGACTAGTAATGCAGAAAATGATTTCAAATGCATATTTTTTATTATTACTACATAATTGTAAAAAAGCTTTTTTGTTCCGCTCATTATTCCGGAATAATGAATGAGTTAGAAGTTAAAACGGGAAAGAACGTTTAATCCTTAAAAACTGAGAAGGAGGATTTCTTCAAATTTCGAAAGAATAAGCCGCATAAAAAGATATCATGGACCATCAGTATGCACATACCATGGTTGAAACTGCTGAATGAGCCTCTAATATGGTTCAAGATCACTGTAAGTTCATTCTGGTGATATAATTATCTATTGATGAAAGATTTCAAAATAGTCTTTTTCTGTAACACCGATACATCTTATCAGAATAAGGGTGGAAAACATAAACAGCCACTTCATTTTACAGTTTAGCACTATTTCAAGTGATTTCACTTGAAATCCATGTTGTATGTACGATCGGAAAATTACACGTCTAAAGGCTATTTTTAGATATTTGACAATTATTTTAGCATAGCTTTTTCTTGATCATACTTTCACTCTGCCTATCTCGGCTCCAGAAAATAGTAGCTGTGACGGATAAGAAATATTTTCTTTGAAATAATGAAATTTGTAAGTATGGGAACATTTTATATATTTTATTTGCTCTTCTCAATAGGGTGTGAATGGCACATTTCGATCATAATATTAATGCTTTTCTAATCATTTTCCCAACATTCACCACATCCATTTTATGTTAATGTTCCACTTTTCCAACCGCAATCTTTGTTACAAACCCGCACCTTCAAGATAAATGAAAGAATTTCTACCTGTGAAGAAGCGACTTCCGATCTAAACTTTTTATACTCTGACTCCGATTTTCATGTTCTGTTGCATGGAATAAATTTCATATCGGTATTTGAAGATGGAGCGGTAGGTAGGAAACGAAAAAAATGATTATGTGGTCATTTTCTTTTGGTCGCGTATTGTTGACTGTGATTCGTGGCTTTTTACGATTGTGTGATTAGCTCTGCAGTGAAGTAAGGTAAATTGAAGTACAAAAGCAGTTGCTGGTGGAAAGTAGATATGGATATAATTGCGACATAACGGAATAAAGTTGAATGGTTATACAGAATTATTTCTTTTCTGTCATGTCGTTGTTCCTTTTCCGAGTGCATCAATCCGAGTACAGGATTGGTTGACTTGGGTATATCATCGATGTATATTTATCTTATTAAAAAAAAAACTTCATATTGGAAAGCTTTTTCTGTTACGTGGCATAAAGAAAAATCAATATTAACTTAATTATATGGGCAAAATCATTTTAATAGCGACGTGACACCGTACATTTTCAATATGTGCATCTCTATATAAAGAGTTGGGCAGAGACTGATTTTTTTACATAATATACAGAGTTACTTGTTCTATATACCTTAAAAAAATCAGCGTCAGAAAACCTTCCTGTGAGGAACCACAGTTGAAAAACTGTCGTTAGCGACGTGATTCAAAAAAGGACATCGATTTTCACTTTTCGCAGTTGAGGTTAAAATAGCTGTGAACCAAAGTATTATTTTCGAAAACAATATTATGTATTGTGTAGACCACTTCGAGCGCTATAAAAACCCGCTTACAATAGTTTCTCTAGATCACATGGATCATTCTTCAATACCTTTAGTTTATCACGAAGTAAAAATTTCTGATTCGACGTTTAACAAGAGCCAAGGGAAAGGTATTTTTTCGAGGAAAATTTTATCATATACGTAGGTTGGGTCATAGAGTTTATCCTGAAAGTTTCAACATTTTTCATTGTGTCGTTAGGGAGATATTCGCTAATTGCTGCTTAATTAATTAGCAAATTAGTTAATTAGTTTTAACTAAATGGCATCAGAAAGAGCAAACATTTTCACGTCTGTTTTTGATAAAAGAATTTGGTCAGAAAAAATACTGCCGTCAAAAACTAAAGCGAAACGAAAGAGGTCAATGTCCTGTTTTACGTGATTTGGCCCATATATTAATCTTTGCAGCCGAGGGTAATGTGAGTCACTCTCGACGAGCGGTTTCTATTTAAATAACACTGATTTTTATGCACAAACACGCCTGTATATATTCTTTATAAGATTCTTAAATACGAGTTCTTCATATAGTATAGGAATAGTTGATCATTTTTTTTCGCTGATATTTCTCATTAGAATGTTACGATATAATCCTTGGAAATTATGTTGTTGTATCATTCTTCTATCAAATAAAGTAATTATGAGAGAAAATAGGTCATATTTTTACTATTAAATGAAGAGTCAAATATACATCATTTTTTAATATTTTAACATACATTTAGAATTCCATCAGCTCAGATTGTAAAATCCCAAATCTATCATAAATTCTATTACTCAAACGAGTAAGAATATGAGTATATAATAGATGTGAAGGAGAATTATGTTATAGTTGACATAAAGATGATTTTCAAGAATAAAAATGTACTAAGTCAGTTTTGTTTTATTGCTGCCATTTTGAGAGCATACTACAATATTAACTATTGTAAGTGTTACTTACAGGCTCAAAATTTTTTTTTCACCTGTTGTATATCAATCAATAATTTTCTCTGGAACATAATGTGACATAGATCTTAAAGTTCATTTTTACCGTATATGCTGCCAAAGGTTAATTTTCTTAAGGTCTTCGAATCTACGTGATAATCCTTTAATAATATTCTTTAGCCTCGAATAACATCAACAGATATTTTCCTTAATAAAGGTATTTTCTCCCCATTTACGTAGGAGAGAACTCTGTGTAAAATTTTTCTTTTAATAATCCATTCTCATATTTTTCATCTTCAAATTCACTCATGTCAAGTGTATTAACTAATAATGAAATTATTCGTCTTCAATCTGTTGCCAAAATCTTTGATGGATATGTTATACTCGTTCTCATCATCATTGGAACAATCGGAAATCTATTGAATATCGTTGCTTTTCTTCGAAATAAAACACTTCGACAAATGTCAAATTGTGTTTTTATGATTATGTTTTTCGTTAGTAATCTCACTTCTTTATGGACATCTCGTTTTCAACGTTCAATGCTAGCTATCACTGGTGTCGATCTACTAGTTGGTTCAATATTTTATTGTAAAGTTCGATGGTTATTTGGTCGCTGGAGTTTTAACATGTCATTTACATGTATCTGTTTATCAAGTATTGATCGATTTCTCTATACATCACGCAATGAACGATATCGACGATTGATTACATTCGAACGAGCTGTTATAATTACAACTATGATTAGTATTGCTTATATCATCATTTTTATGCCAGATGCTATTTATTATTCGGGACATCGATGTATGGCGTCAAGTAGCGATCGAGTTATATATCAACAATTTATCGTTTATTTTAATTTAACTATGACCAATAGTATTCCACAAATTACTCTTGGCCTTTTTTCCATGCTTACATGGTATAATCTTTGGTCAATACGCCGCGAACAACACAATCGACTTCGTCAAGAAGTGACTCGAATGATGTTAGTTGAATATACGGTGATATTTATTAGTTCGCTTCCCAATTTTGTATATAATTTATATGCACAAATTACTCAGTCACGGATGAAATCGGATTTGCAAATAGCGCAAGAAAATCTGTGGAAAACTGTATCTGTTGTTCCCAGTTTTTTATTAAATATTGGAACATTTTATATATATATTATAATGTCAAGTGCATATAGACGAAATGTGAGAGCCGCTTTTTCCTATGGAAAACGCAATCAAGTAACACCACATAGATCAAACCTTCCAATCACAAGATTTGCTCGTCAAGTTGCAATTAAGGTAATTTGGCGACAATGAAGTAGACTTTATTCATATTCTCTGCCATACGACTGCTATTTGTTATGTATTAATGCATATCCTTATATTATTCTGAATGGAAGAAAAGAAGATATGAAATGTATTTCTCGTTGTGCATCTTGTTCTCATTCACTGTTGTTATAAAAATATTAAAAGCAAAATCAAATATAAAAAAGAGTGCAATATGGAAAACAACTTCATTTTTTAAGACAGTATTACTCTTGGTGCATATAAATTTACTTGTGTCAGTCCAGAAGTAGCGCCAGAGATATCCTAATCTATTAGAGAAGACTTCAAGAAACATTTATTCTACTCAGGATGATAGGGAAAAGAAAGCTCCAATTTCCTGTCCTATTTGATTACACTTAAACTAGTATAATAATAATAAACTTTCGAGAAAACTCAGTTGTGTAGTCTATCTCCTGGTTGTTACGAGATATTATCTTGTGTTGGATGCGCGGTATCTTATTGTTATTTTCTCTGTTCGTCTTTTTTCTAAAATTTACTTTCATCTCGGTCAATGTCCAGCCGACTGCTCTTGGGTGGGCGAGGGTGATTCTATGCGTAAACACAGTGTTTGATCGTGCTTAAAGAACAATAAAGCAATATAGTGGAGATTAAATCATACATTATTCACTTCAACACCGACGTATGAGAACAGTAGAAAGGTGATCGCAGTTATTTCGGCAAGATCGAGAAGATATCGAGGAAGATGCATGGTCTGGTAGACCCATTGCTGACATCATAATTGGGATACTGAAAAAAAGACGTGTAGTCTTATTAACGAAGATCCTTATGTTACAATAGAAGGAATGGAGATGTAAGTTGGTCGAAAGGTGTCGAATGCTGCTCGAATGTGAAAAAAAGAATCTTCCATCTACACTAGTAAGACAAAGTCGTTTCGCTCCAAAGGCCTTATTTAGTATCCTTGAAAAAGTGTCTCAAATGTAGTGTCCAATATATGAGAATTCGCTACAATAATGGGCCCTCGCATATTGGCGAATAAGTGTCAAAATAGCCTTGATGTGGAAGATATCAGAAGAAGAATAAGGCATTCACCCAATTCTCCACATACGGCATTATGTGATTTTTCATTATTTGATCTCATGAAGAAAAATCTCACTGATCAAAACGATTCTGAATCATTATACCGTGCCGCGAGTGGCTTCATGAATTCCTCAAATAAACAAGTGTATAGGAAAACATTCGAGAAGTGAGTTGAACGAATTCGATTGTGTATGGATAACAACGGCGATTATTTCGAACATTTATTAAAACTAGATAGGCTGTCAGGCTTCGCCCGGCCGCGAAATACGGTGCGCTGAGTTTCGCTGGCGTTTGTATACTTTTCAAATGACTGAATGGGCTAGTTCTATAACCACTCAGCTTAAACGCAAATCCTCTATGAACTAAAATCTAGAGAGACATGAGGTCGCCGCATTCACTTAATTATCTTCACGGCAGCAAATATTATCACCACATTTTACCACTAAATCCGTGTTTTATTTTGGGCAGAGCGAAAATGAAAACCAAATTAGAACACAAAATTCAGCACCTACATGGTCATAGTTTCTTAGCAACGTTCGTTCGGTAGACTAGTGATACTCCATTCTCTAGATCATCAGGTCACTTAAAATGAACTTTGGACGCCTTGTCGAGAAAGAGAAAAGATAATAATAATAAAAAGACGCGATGAAAATCAAGAATGGAGGTGGACCATTTAATTTAATTCTACTTAATTCACGGCCGTTAATTTCCACTTAATTAACTGCTAAACTGTTAAATAATCATAATCTATAGGACCAAGCATTAACTACCAGTACCCTGGTAAGAGACTCACCTCTCAGATTAATACTATCGTGGGAACTAGTTTGGAAAAATTCTTTATTCCAAGGCTTATTACCTCGAATTCTGATTGGTCAATTTTGACTAACTGCTGATGAACGTGATTTTTTTTTCAAAAACTCATTTTCACAGGAAATCTACCTGAAAGGCCTTATATAATGATGTTTTTTTACCTCGGATTGTATTTGGCTTCCAGAGATCGCCATTGGTTGCTAATTTTCTTACAGGAAGTCAGCATTTTACTCCGATTATGCGATATTAATCATGGTCCTTTGAGTTTTTGTTCATGAATCTACAATTGCCTCTGAAGCAATAGAAGATCTTTCTTATACGTTAATCACTTAATTAAGTGGAAATTAACGGAAATGGTTCACCCCTACTCAAGAACACGGTGCTAGCGCACCGTATTAATTAATGAGAGCTTGGTAGACCATACATTTCATGCTTGTTCTAAGGTTGTTAAAATTTGCATATGATGATATATGCAGTTGGCTAGGCATTGAGCGAGATGAAAGTAAATTTAAAAAAAAGACGAACAGAGAGAATAATATAAGATACCGCGCATCCAACACAAGATAATATCTCGTAGCAACCAGGAGGCATATTACATAACTGAGTTTTCTCGAAAGTTTATTATTACGATAGTAGCTTAAGCGGTAATGACGTGCGCATGGAAAAAAGTTAATGGGATGGAATGTGGTTTCATTTTACGCATTTGTGAATTTAATTTGATAAAAGCATTCTTAATCGCCTATTTAAATATACTAATTATGAAAATTTTAATGGAAGAGGATGTAGATACCGCCGTTCGTACATGTAAAATGAAAAGATGATAGAACCCGGCTGAATACGGAAAATATTAATAATAACCGTGACCACCTCCATCGGGTGTTAAGCTTATGGGACACTATTATTAGTATTATTATTATTATCATGTAGCTAATGTGCGGAGACAACGGTCAAGTGATGTCGGTACCCGCCCAATACTTTTCCTTTATGAACAATGTGACTATGCAAATTTTTTATTTTTGAATGTTCAATCGTATCAAAGGAACACATTGTTGATATTCTTTCTGAAATTATATTGAAAAAACTAAACAATACAATATGTAAACATTAATATTTATATTCGATGAACAATATGTTGTAGCCCAATCATTGGTTGAATTTGACGCTTCTGTTTATAAAAAATATGATATAAATTTTGACGAAACATTTTCGAAACCGAAAAATAAACATAAAAAGACATACAATGCGTGCTTGTACTAAATAATAGCATAACACTTGAAGCTACATTTTCTTGTGCTAAACGAAGAGAATCTTTCCGAAAATTTTTTGTATAAAGAAAATATATTCGACTCATTACAAAAGCAATTGTTGTGAATAAAACCATTACGACTTGACCGACTAATAAACCAGTTATGGTTTGTTCTATACCGTTCCCTCTAATGATAATCTTTCGTATATTAAACCATATTAAGGAAGATAATATTGATAAAACGAATATGGGGATCAAACTATATATAACAAGACCAATATAAACATTATAACTAGCAGCAATTGGATTAATTATATCACATGTAGTTATATTAGATATATTAATCCAATGTGTAAAATAAATTAAATTTGGACTTATGAACAAAACTGAATAAAATAAAACAAACAAACAAATGAAATAAGAACGACGCTGTGTTATCCATCGATGATAACGGATATTTCGTAATGATAACAAATAGTGATTGACACTTGCTAAACAAATTCCATGTAATGCTACTGTTCCTGTTACCGGCCCAAAAAACCATCGTAACTTGCAAAGTATTTCAGATTTCACTAATGGATCATTTCCGGTTATTCGAGAAATTAATTGAGGTAAAAATGCACTGAGAAGATTTAATTGACTTCCGAAAAAAGAAAACAGAAGAAATCTTGATATGGATAAACTATTAAATTGGCGATGAAAAGTAAATAGGAAAATATTTACAATATTACCAAGAATACCACATATAAACATCGACGAACCAGCATATATTACTATAGTTTGAGCTATGAAATTCAAACGAAGTATTTCATCAGATGACATGAAATTATAATGGATTTATTCTAAAAGAAAGATACATCGTCGTGCAAAGCCCAGCTATAGCAAAATAATCTTTAGAAAACAGATGAATTCATGCGTTGATGTCGTTGGCTTCTTTTTTTATCAATGGCTTCATGGAATGCAAGAATGCTTTGTAATAATATAGAAATATCATTAATAAAAACAACATGAGGCATTTTACAACTACTCACACTCAATAATTCGAATGTTAAGCTCTTTTATCTTAAGAGATGCGCCATTCTCGTATATGTCGGTACTGACAAAACTACGAGTATCTTTTTATATCTATATACGATCTGTTCTTCATTTTTAACAATCATCAACTGCACGACAACGTTAATTTAAAATATTTTCGTTGATTTAATGAACGTTTGCAAGTACATACTTAAACTGTCAGCACCATTGTTTATGACATCTAAATAAGTAACAGGAAGTAAAGATGGATGAGATGAGACCCAAATGATATTGAATAAAGCATGATAACACCAAATATTCCATCATCCCAGGTCATTGCGACACAGTGTCATGATTCAACTGAAGGCTAGTAGCAATCGCAGTGCCTTACTTGTTTTCATCTTTATTTAATTTTTATCTTTAAGCTTATATGAAAAGATTAAACAATTATGAAACGAATGAGCTATCAATTTTGCTTTTCTGACAGCATCTTACTGGCATCTATATCATATAATCTCTTGTTATCCGTTCTGTGTACTGCCTAAAATCAGGAAGTACCGACTTTCTTAGCATGCACTTCTTCCTGTGTGCCACTCGTCATGCCCGTCGAGGTTATCATTTCTCGGCCGACAGCGAGTGTGTCTCTAATTCCTTCCGGAAAATCAAGAGGATGAGTCACTGTGCATGATAATAACAGATAAGAGGAGAAGAGAACGAAAAGAGCGACTTATTATCGATATGTTGTCGTAGAGGTGAATGAAATGTATTCATTTTCTTCTCGTATGATTGATTCTATTACATGTGAGTATAATGATTCAAAATTTTTTTTCACCGTCATGGTATAACGCACATGTTGTATCCTTTTTTTTCGTTCGTTCTTCTCTTTCATTAGTATTCTAAGTTTTCGCCCATGCACTTCAAAGTGTGCAGCTCGTTTGAGTACATGTGCGCTTGGGTAGTTTAAGAGGTTCTATTTGTACTAATAAAAATGAATCAATATTGAAAATGTTCCTTGAAAACAATTATAATTTGATAATAATATTTATGATTACAATTGTGTGCTGTTCTATGGTGTATAATATGAAATCGAAAATAAGCTATATTTCACAATTATGGAAGAATATTATTCATTTGAAGAATTCTAAGAAATGTATTATCATTTTACGTGAAATTAATGGTCGACTTGGCAATAATTTATTTCAATTTGCTGTTGCTTATGGTTTATCACTTAATCGATCATGTCAATTATACATTAGCTCACATTTTATTGCGAGACTTAGTGATTCGTTCGATATTAATTTACGGAATCTCGCACCAGAATCTCGTTTAAGTTCTTATTCAAATTCGACTGAAATAATCAATACTCATTGTACATTTTATCCTCATCTCTTGAATCCAAATAATAATTATTCGTTAGAATTATCGGGATTTTGGCAAGTTTGTAGATATTTTATTGATTATCAAAAACAGATAAAACAACAATTACGTTTTAAAGAATTAACTTTAAACCATGTTAATGAATTTCTGAATAGAAGTATCAATAGGCATAATTCAACTCTTGTAGGTATTCATATTCGTCGCGGCGATTTCCTCTTAATTCATCGGCCTGTTTCATCAGATAAATATATATTTAATGCTATGTCATATTTTCAACTCAAGTATCGTTTAGTGACATTTCTGATCGTATCAGATGATAAATTATATTGTCAGAAATTGTTTAATCGCACAAACAATGTTTTAATAACACCGAAATCGTTTGCTGCAATTGAGGATTTAGCGATATTAACTATGTGTGATCATCTTATTCTTACAGTTGGAACATTTGGATGGTGGGCTGGATTTCTTTTAAATAATAAAGTAGGTGAAATCATAATTGATTCGAAACCAGATCATTCTCCTCTTGATGTCAATTGTAGACAAGAAGATTATTTTCCACCTTGGTTTTCATTTTTAAATAAAACTAATTAAATTTTAACATGAAATTAAAATATAAAATGTGTGATGAATGATGAAAAAGTATTTCATTATCTCTTGCAGGAAAGCTATTCGATTCGGCTATAGTTTCTGTTTCGTGAAAGACTCGCTAATACTGATAATTTCTTATTCTTTGGATATCCAAGAGTATGTTTAATCTTATTCATATACATCCTTAAGTCGTACTTAGAATACACTCGTTATCAATTGTAAAAGTGCGAAAGGTCATCGATTATGAATTTTATCGCTCTTCGTTCTCGAACGTACTTTATGTCAATACAGATATATATATGTAGAATGAGAAAAAATCAACCCTGAACCCTGTGTATAAAAGGAAAGAGTGTTTTTATTTCTTTCATATTCATTTTTTCATCACAAGTGGCGAAATAAAAAAAACGATAATCAAGAAAATGCTACATTTGTCAATCATTCTTCTTTTCATATTGACTAGTCTTACGCTTTATTATATATTTCTTCTACATCAACGCTATCAATACTTTCGTCGACGTGCTATTCCAACACCACCTTTCCGTTTTTTCTTCGGACATATGAAAGAATTGTGGAGAGTCCCATCTTTTCATCGTCAACTCGAAACTTGGACAAAACAATACGGTAAAATCTATGGAATCTATCAAGGAACGAGTCCAACATTTGTTGTTAGCGATCCTGATTTTCTTCAGGAAGTTTTCGTCAAACAATTTCTGAATTTTCCTGCACGAAGACAAGCCTTCTCAGGTAGCAAAATTAGAAATGTCCTTTCATCATCTGGTGCCACGTGGCGTCGACATCGTCATGTTATCAATCCAACATTCTCAGCTGCAAAATTAAAAATGATGAGTCCACTTATTAACGGATGTATCACTAATGTCATGGAAAAATTAAGTGATCATGGCCGTAATGGAAATGATTTCAATATTTATATTTATTACAAAAGAATGACAATGGATGTTATATGTAAGTGTATATTTAAAGGAATTTCTGTGTTCTAACTAATAATGCATCTTGTTTAGGTCGGTGTGCATTTGGAATTGATACTGATTTACAAAATAATCCAAATAATATATTTTTTAAAAAAGTGGAAGAAATCTTTTCGCGTAATATTCGATTGAATCCTGCTGCAAAATTGTCTCAACTTGTGCCAGAATTGGCAATTGTTATTGGAAAAGTTTTTTTTAGTTTCAATGCTGCACGGTCATTCATTAATCTTCATATTTTACCTTTAATAACCAAAAAACAGTTGCATGAACTTCCAGGTATGTGGCTTTTCAATCGATTAGATCCAGTTGTTGAACAGAGACAGAAAACACCAAGTTCTCGAGTCGATGTTCTACAATTGATGATGCAAGTCATGACTGATGAAAAGGAGATTCATGTAAGGATTTTATTTCGTAATCTGAATGATTAGATAAACATAAAGTTTTTTTTGTAGGATAATTCACAAGATACGAGTAAAGCAAATTATCGATTAACTCGAGATGAAGTTATCAGTAATATTCTTATTTTCATGGCAGCTGGATATGAAACAACGTCAACATCGTTGGCCTATGCAACATATGTACTTGCTCTACATCCAGAAGTTCAAGAAAAACTTCAGGCTGAGATTGATCAACTTTCATTGAGTAATGAAGATGCTGATTCGAATGAAGACGCTAAAAAATATCCTGACTATGATACCGTTGCTCAGATGCCTTACATGGATATGTTTGTTTCCGAAGTTTTACGAATGTATCCAATTGCTAATACAGTAGTTCAACGACGTGCTGTCGAAAATACGATTGTACAAGGAATTTCAATTGAGAAAGGTAATTAAAAGATGTATAACCTGATGAAACATTTTCATGTCTTCTTTTCAAGATACTTTCATACATGCAGACATCTATTCAGTCCATTATGATCGTGAACTTTGGGGACCCGAAGATCCTTATGTGTTTTGTCCTGAACGTCATCAAACAAAACGTCATTCAATGGCGTATCTACCATTTGGAGCAGGACCACGGCAATGTATTGGTATGCGCTTTGCATTAATTGAAATGAAGATTTTGTTAGTGCGGTTACTTCGTGAATATTCCATTCTACCTGGTGAGCAACTTCAGAATAAATTTAATATACGTGAACGGGCTGTCATTGCACCAGAAGAAGTGTGGGTTAAACTAATAACAAGAAATATTTGAAAATGTACATAAAATAATATGAGCTTCAATAATTTTTCTTCTTCTTTATTTGTAATAAATAATACAAATACATTTAGGAGGAGGAGGGTGTCTTCTTTATACTCGCACTCACACCATGGGTAAATAAGAAAGCTTCAAATAAACCCATTCAAAAATACACATACTGGATCAGCTTTCAATGCTGATTTCGAATATCGTGTTACAAATATTTTAGCAGGACTCATTTTTATGAAAGGTGAATTTTTTTGAGTTTACAGAGCAATTAATGGCATGTAAGAAATATATAATTTTGTAGAGCAGCTTTCGCTCTATCGAATGGTGTAAGTTTCCAATAAAGGGAAGCACTCTAAAGACTATCTTTTCTGTACGTTCTACAAGGGTGAGTTTATACAGAAAATCAGCGCAATACACATTAGTAGCCTACTATTATCATTTCATATTTACTAGAGAACTGGCTGTATTTATACGATCTAACCAGAACCTGTAGCGTTAAACCTCTAAATTAAAAAATGAATGATTTGTTCTCAATTATCGATAAATATTACCAACGATCGTATAACGTAGTATATTGCATCATTTCATTAAAGAAAAGCATTTCAATCGAAAATTTTCGCAGATATGTACATACCTAATTTGCGATTTGCAACGATAATTTCCAGTTAG